TGTCATCTGCATTTATAAATCTGAACAAAATGTGTAAAACTAGGATCCACGTGAAGACTCTGAATACAGCATATTCTGCATGCATAATATACGTCTAGTCATGCATCTACACTGACAACAGCTGGACTAGGCACTGATCTGGGGGGGAAGGGGTTGGCAGTTGGGGGTTGGGGATTGGGGGTTGGGCTTGTACGTTATTGCATGTTTTCGTGATAAAAATATAGTGGTATTCTTTTGTGTGTTTGCTAGTTGCTCTAATCAGACATGCACGTAAACGTAAAAAGAAATCTGAAGCCCCCCTCTTCCCCGGGAAAATCCCTTTATCCCATCCCTTGGGACTTTCCAGTCCATCGCACTAGCAACAAGGTCTGTTGTTTTGTGTACATTTCCAGGGGCACTTCAACAGAATCCTTGATTTCATTACCAAAAATAAATAATAACTTTTATAATGCATAATGATGTTAAAATATTTTTTAAAAATTTAATTTCGCCATTTCGTGTTACACTGAATTCTTGCAAAAATGTGTACTGCAAAAAATAGTCAGTTGCACTTGGAATAAGCTGGTTATTGTTCATTCTGGCCATGTGGGAAAGGTTTCCGCACTCCACGGTCTTTGCAGATAGTGTGAGACTTCCTGGGTCATCCTTTCCTCGTTGCATTCCTCATCCGGCAGCAGCATGTCCTCGAAGATGTTGAGCGTGGTCAGGCGGGGCCCACAGAGCTTGGCCAGGCACACCAGCCCTGCACAGCTGACAAGGGCGCCACTGAGCTGCACCTCTTGTAGCTGAAGGCAGCGCTCCCCGATCTCGGCCAGCGGCCCGTCGATGGGCTCGTCTGTCCCGGTGTTGGCCAGCAGCAGGGTCCTGAGTCGCGGGCAGTGCCGCGCCACCCGACACAGGACCAGCCGCGGGATGAAGCAGCCGAAGTGCAGCAGGGTCGCCGGCAGTCGGTGGCGAAAAAAGTGGTCGTAGCTCTCCTCTTCGAGTTTGAGGAAGTGCAAAGCGAAGGCAACGTCTGGGGAGTGCTGGGACAGGGAGTCCCAGCCGACGTGGCTGATGGCCTGCCAAGGGACCGGCTCACTCCCATCTCCACTGTCTGGCTCAACCACCCGGATACTTATGTCTTTCATCGGTACATGGGCTGGTGTCGATACAGCCTGGAGAAGGGCATCACTCACCTGGTGATAGTCCATGGTCAACTCGCACAGATGTAAACAACTGCCAAGAACGCTGGTGATCCCTGCAAACATTGAGTGGAAAGTTTAGTTCATGGTTTTTCTTAGCTGAGTATCAGGACGGAGATTTCATACCAAGAAGCTGCATCACTGCAATTTTGTACTGATCAAGATGATAGATACATGTACATCAATGGGTCATTGACATCGCTACCTTCTAGGTACATGTAACAATACCGCACATCTTGAGTGAGTTACTGACTGAGGGGTTCACTAAACTCACAGGGAAGACCTTTATGCTTGGATGAAAACCCAAATTCTGAATGTGCTGAGCAGTTGTGCGAACTTTAGAGCATGTTTGAAATCCAAATGACCTGTGTGCCCCCCCCCACTGGTTTCTCTTTCCACTTTTATGTTGTACTGGCCTATTTGAGGTGTGGCAGACACAATAGGGGGAGCTATTTGGCTTGCAAAACCTGTGTGTTTACTCCAAATTCAATGTTGTATTTGAGTCCATCAAATGTCTTTTCACAAGTCCTTTCACAAGTCCTGTCACAAGTCCACTCGTCCAATCACAAGTCTGGTCACCATGGTCACAATCCCTTCACAACTCCAGTCATAAGCAACAGGGTGAACGATGACAAAAGAATGCTTTGGGCACAGCTCCTGTGAATAGCTTGTGAATTGGCCTAAAGACTGAATGCTTTGTGATGGACTCGAATACAACACAGTCCAAAGTTACCCACTTCAAACAACACACTCCTATATCGTGTCCATACTTCAACAAGGTCAAATAGTCTGTCTTTATATTTCACGGGAGACATCCGTGATGATACTCTACCAAACATTAAGATATTCATCGAACAGTCCCTTTGGCTCTCGGAGCTTAGCTCATTCATTATAATTCCAATCAAGCAGCCAAAACCCTTTGTATGGTCGCATCGTCTCGGAATGTGACTTGAGAGCAACCCAAATATGAAACATGGCAGAAAATGAGCATGTACAAAAGGTAGTCACAGGAGCAGACTCACATATGTTCGTGAGGCAGGCCGTCACACAATAAAACAGGCAGGGGCTGGGTGCAAACATCGCTACCGAAAGGCTGCTATATACATGTACCAATTATATTTGTGGATACCATAGCAACATTGTACTGTATTTGGAAGGGGGGTTATAGCTCTTGGCCCAAGAAACAGAGCGTGTTCCCTAATTTCAGGGAAATAGGGATGTTCCCTCCCTTGCCATTCTCTGTCAATGTGATCGTACACAAGGGTGGGGTCCAGGGGGTTGGACAGGGGTCATCACCCCTCCCCCCTTCCAAAAAAGGAATAGTCTTTTTTATATGACAAGAGAAAGGTAATATTTTTGGTCATTTTAATTTCCCTTCCTTCAAGAGGCTCAACCATTTAGCCTCACACCTCTTACCCCCTCCCGCCAAAATGATTCTGCCCTGCCCCTGTAAACTCTGTTCTGGACCCGCCCATGATTAAACATGGCAATGCCTGACCTGATGCAGACAGGGCGGGGCAGCAGTTAATCTTCAGCGAGGTCAGGGTAGCCTGGCTCTTGTCTGCCATTGTCTGCAATGAGGCATCGTCGATCAGCGTCTTTGCAACGGCCAGCTCCTTCAGAGGCGAGTTGGTGAGGATGCCCCGCATGGAGTCAGTGACCTGAAATAAGACGTTTTGAAATTGGTACTTTTTCCATCAGGTTCATGCAAAAATGGTAGCATATAGGTTCAGAGACATACATGTACACAGGTACAAGAAACTGTCCTATTGGACGAGCTCACTGACTCAGGACGTGACATACATGTACGTGACCACTGTCATAGGCAAAGACTGCAGGGCTACGCACAGCATTTACGCAGAAGGCAAGCCTTAAAAAGCTTCACAGCGACAAGCATAAGCGAGTACTGGATGACAATTGTACAAGTACATGTCTGTGGCACAAGCAGGGACAATTATATCATCCGATTAAGAATTCCCAGTCATTTTATGCGAGAACGAGTTCCTACTGTGTACAGCCCACGAGGCATGGATGCTCGCCCAAGTTACGTGGATGCCTTTTGATTAGACTCTCTATACTTTGGAAATGTTCTGAACGGCACAAAGTCTGTTGACAACATGGTGCATGTGAATACTGGGTGGCCATTTGTGGCCACCACACGAGTTTCAAATTACATGTATTCTATAGATTAAAATGAACAATGGATGTTTTGAGTGCAGCTGCAAGGCTGACTTAACGAGGTGACAGACGGAACGATTGATTCCTCACGGACAATTCACCTCAACGAATGAAACATTCCACTTTTGCCAAAACAAATACCTCATTCTTTCCACTGCATGCCAGCTAACCATTCATTGTTTGTTTATTCACTGCCAGAATAGATCACGAAAAACTAACTGCGTGAAGAAATCCCTACATCACCGGATGGATTTCTTTTGACGGTGGAATGGTAAGCTCTATTTACCATGGATCAGAACTTCTTGTTTCAGAATGTTGGCCATGCCATATACGAGGAGAATCCATTAAACTGGAAGTCGAGGAAGTATTCTATTCATTAGCAGTTTTTCTTCGGATCCTCATCCCACTTTGCCAAGTCCCCTCAACTGTTTATCATGTTTCTGAACTTGAAATTACTTTCAGGAATCTAAATGTTGGCTCTCAGTATGAAATCCCTCTAAAATTGGATAAACTGACCTGTTTGGGTTGCACAGATGTGAAGCTGTGGCCCAGCATGGAGCTCAGCTTCAGGGTGTGGAGAGAACACACCCCAAGCTGTGTGAGGACATCGCACGCCATGGCTACGGACTCCTGGTGGCTGTCCACCTTGATGGTGACGTGCCGCAGGTCGGCGCTGTGCCTCTCAAATACCTATCCAACAGGTTTCAACCTTTCAATTCACATGCATCTCTCAAGTACGGTTACGGTCAACTTGTGCAAATAAAATGTTTGCAGCATGGACGACATTCACGGACTGTATTTGTGCCGAAAAAAAAGAGCATACAATGGAGTTCCGCCAAGGGCTTTCCGAAAAAAATTTAGTGTCCTCTAAGCTATAGGAGTAGTCTTGAAGTCCACCAAATTTTGCTTGACTCCCATCAAGAATAAAATGTACATGTAGCCACCGTGCTTGAAAATCTTGTTGCCAATTTCAAATATTTGGGTACTTTCCATGATTTCTGGAATATTTCATCTTACACAGTATTTTGAAATATCTACATTTATCGACAAATATTCTTTCCTGTCCATGCACATGTACCATATGTACACGTAAATGCCGGTTTGAAACCTTTGGGATAAGACATGCACAGGTAGGGTGTCGGCTTCTTTGTAAAAAAGTTTAAGGCATGAGATTCAAAAATCTACTTGCCATTGTAGATAAGATTCATCATCTGAGAAATGGGCCATCTCCTCCTGTTTTTCAAAACAGACAAGAAACTTTTTTTTACTTGGCCTCACCTGTTTGATAAGTGACGCTGGTGTAGAGCTGGCCATCAATGCCGTCTCCTGCACAAATTCAAATGCGAACTGGTGCCACAGGTCCGGCATGTGATAGGTGGCATGCCAGCGTGTGCAGACCTGGGCGGAGCGCCCCCGGTCGGGCAGGGCCAGCAGCTTCAGAATGCGCACCAGCAAATCGATTGGCAGCAGTGCCCAGACTGACTGCCGCTCGCCGGTAAGGTGTAGGTCCCGAGCCAGCTGCTCCAAGTGCAGCTGGACAGCCCGTTTGCGCTGGGCCCGTGACTCGCGGGACCTTAATTTCACTACGCCGCCTCGGAGTGGTGGCCTCTCTGCATCCCGACGGCCACTGGTCGCTGAGCAACTAGGCTCCATGACGGTCTGCATAAAAAAATTTAATCAACCCAAGTACAGTACATAAAGTTTGGTCTTTGACAGAACTATGAATGGGGACCTGCCAGCAGATTACCACAGGCACTGACAGGGTGATTCTTTCCTCGCCTTCCACCTCTGGGGGCCTGGGTTCAAATCCTAGCTCATTCCACACGTGGATTGGGTTTTCAGTCCCTACCTGATTCCGTGGGTTTTACCCAGAATATTCCTCTGGGGTTTTCCTCCCACCTCTAAAACTGTAACTGCTTCTCATTGTCTCCTCTCTACAGGTTTCTTCAGGCTTGTGAGCTACAGTGCCTAGGGCACCTTTGAGGAATCAGCATTTTTACCAGAAATGATTAATAATAATAGTGCATGTCAAAGTTAATTTGCTTCAGTACCGCCAGTGCCCCCCCTAAAAACATGTGTGTTCACACCCCCCGGAGCCCCTCGGACATTGCAGCCCAGTTATGCTGTTGGCTTTGGTACTCCATTTGTGAAACTAAATAATACTTTCAAAACTTGAAACAATGTATTTCCTAAATTCTCTCTTTAACACTTCTCAGCGAGTTGGACAGCTACATTTGTGACCCAAGCTAAAGATGAGCAGCACTTCTGCAAAATTAAACCAGGAACCTGGCCTGTCCATAAAAAATGGATCTCTGACTTTTTCCTTGAAAAAAACCTTCAGGGGTATGAATCTACCACAAAAAAAGAAATGAACAAGAAAAAAAAACACCTTTGGAAAATACATATAGGCTCAGACCAAGAAAAATTAAGCCCCCAAAATTACCAAAACACTTGCTGTGAGCAGGAAGCGTATCACTAAGCTAGATTCCAGCATCTCAAGGGTCTAGTGGAATGCAAAATCTTAGTGCTGGTTCACACTTGAGGCACATGCTACATTGACAAGCATTTTCCGCACCACGAGGAAAAGTTTGCAGCAAACTTTGCATGTACTGAATCGCCCTAAACTTTGGTGAATTCGCAGAGTGAATAGCTGTAGTAAATCTGTGGTGACATTTACACCAAGCAGTATGAACCAGCTTAAGTAACCATCACAACAGGCTGAAAATTCCTGTACGTATTTTCTCCATCTACATGTAGATGCCTGACACAACAGCAGAAGTTTAAAACCACTGAAATCTTTGAACCCCTTTGAGGGTAAAATGTCCATAACACATGAAACACTTCGTAACCTCACTTCAACAGCGGCTGAACGATTTTCAAAAGTAGGGGGCCGGGGGAGGTTCAGTTGTGAGACCATGCTATTACAGGTCGATCCATTAAGCCCCATCCCCATTATCATAGGATCTGCAAAAAAGTGTCGGGTGCCATGCTCCCTCAGTTGAAAAAGTGAGGTCCCTCTGCAGCCTCCCCTGACCCCCATTTGACTGCCAGTGACTCAACCCATGGTGTCTCCCTTCCTCCGTGCTCACGCCCCTGCAGCCCTTGAGATTCATTTCCAGGGATCGTGGAGGAAGAGAAACCTGACTTTGAAGTTGAGGGAAAGATTATGTATATTGTTTTAACACATCCAATAGATAAAAATGGTAAATCATGTTGACATGGACATGATAGGAGTAGGCCTATGGAGGAATAGAACATGGGTTAATCGACCATCACCTAATTAGGCCTACTGCAGTCTGCAATGTAACGTTAGGGCCTATATACATTGCATAATAAGACTGAACCGACTAACATTATCGTGTATTTGAATGGGTAGGTCCAACCTCTATCTCTGCACTGTGCATATAATGCTATAGGCCTAGACTCAGTATCATTATAGGCCTACATGCTTGATAGTTGATACACATTGTAAACAAATGTTACGCCCCAACTATAGCATCAGTCCCAACTATAGTTGGGCCCATTCCAACTGTACTATAGTTGGGCCGTCCCAACTAGAGTGCTACAGTTGGGTCGGCCCAACTACAGCAGAGAGGTCCTGAGTGCATGATGTGCCCACCATGTGCCAAAGTCCTATTGTTTACAAATGTCATGTCACTGGTCATAGGGCTAGATGAACAGATGAAGTGCCATATTTTAGATGAATTGTGTCAAGTGTGAGACACATTGACTTCGATAATGTTGAGACATTTCACACAGACATTGGTCAACAATAGTTGGGCCAGCCTAACTGCAGCACTACAGTTGGGACTGTCTCAACTATAGTTGGGACTTATGCTATAGTTGGGGCGTAACTTACTTAACTTACTAATAATACCATGGAGGAAGGTTGGCCCAAGACACTTTTTCAGCGCAAAATGCCGAAGTTATTGGTCCACTTCCTGCTTACCTCGTTATCACCACATCAGAGCAATTTATGACTTGTTGATGCAGGCAGGATCGGAGGAGTGACTGCTCACTTGCAGCTCAGCTCGAATAGTTTTAATGGTTTCGCCTGTCATGATACCGTGGTGCATGCGAAGCGGCATGCACGGAGCTAGACACGTGTGCATGCACGATCTACACCGGACCTGGGATGTCAACTCAACACACACATTGCAAGGTGCACGTGCAGCATGCACAGCTATCTAACGGTACGCGAAACCCAATTGAATCGACTCTTATCAGAGTTCGAATACATTGCACCGAAATACAGAGTCGATCCCCGCACGCGGATTGTTCGGAGGGCGTGTACCAGTCAGTCTCTTTACTCAACTTGAACTTTGTTGGGTTTGTGCAGTCCCATAGATTTCCAAGCGCTAAGTGGGAGCAAATACGATAACTGGTATTATCATTGCACGTTTCTTACTATAGAGCAGCCAGGTACGATAAACTCCGGACTGAACTACAATCAACTCTTGAAATTTGTCTTAAACACGAATCGAGAAAAAGGGCTGGGAAACTGAGGGAAAGTTTGCAGAGGGGCCAAATTTATTTTATGAATGTGTTGTTCTCATAGCAGACAAAGACTTCAAGCGGCCTTTCCGTTATACCCCCCCCAAACACTTCTCGTTACCCGCGAGGGCTCAGCAGCGTATCCAGTTTTTGGTGCGGGGGGACACTGAAACGCGGCTTCAGGCTCATTCAACTTGATGTAGGAGGAGAAAAATATATCTTAAGCCTTACTCGTGGTCCCTACATCCTTGCTTTTATCTCTTGGTGTTTTCATATGCCGATTACTTTTTTACCCATGAGGTATTCTTTGTTTGAAAAATAAGAAAAAAATTCGTCAGGAAGTATTCTTTGTTTTAAAAAATGGTTTGGATCTGGCCCGGGCAAACACTCAAGTACAAAGAGGGTCCTTATCCAAGTCCGAATGTTTCGAAAATGAGGCTTTCATTACCTTTTACATTCCAACAGCAATGATATTTTCAAAAAACTGAGCGTACCGCTGATGTGTAAATAGGCGCTGCTTCAATGCTTGCCTGTTTATTCGATTACATCCAACATAATACCGACTAGTAGTGGGATCGACGAATACCATTCTAAAAATCCAGGTACAAGCACGAGGCAGTGACTGCAGCTGTCCGGGAGGGTTGATGGATCACATGACATAAAATTGGCTCATGCACGTGACGATAACAGTATACTGCGCTGCGCTGACGCATACATGTACATGTACATGTTTTTTATGTACACGTACATGTACATCGTATGGGTGTGCGTGTGTCATTGCGCGCAAACCGATGTCAACCTGATCTGTTTTAATTCCTCCATGACTCAAGGAACTCTCGAAACTCCCAGGACATGTCAGGTCACGAGTTAGTGTACTTTGCTCGAAATCAAGGCAATTTGCTGCACTGGGTGTAAGCAAAAGATTGTTATTTTCTTTCAACACCCGTGACCAAAACGACCTGTTGAAAGTATGCTGCACAGATCGTCAAACGGTGGACATGGTCATCAATTTGATCGGTGGGTCCGGGAAACGGGGGTAGTCCCAATTTTTGAAAGGAACTAAAATGCCAAGAGGGACCAAGAGAGGGCGCAATTTTCCTAGCTACGGAGGCTCCTTTGGGCTGCACCTCTAAAAATAAATTCCCATAGACACCAATGATAAATCCTTATATTTCAAAACAATGTAAAAAAAATACAGCTCTCATAGGTGTTCAGGCTGGATAGAAAAATGATGTTTGACATGTCCTCTTTCATTTTCCTTTCAAGTTTTAGTCGGTCGACCAATGCATTTTGAGAATTTCTCAAATAAAGCAAACCACCTCTTAAACGAAGGAAATTTCGCTGCCCGGAAAAATAGCCATTTTGAAAATGCATCCCTCTGCAAAACGGCTAGATAGTGCGACTTTCGAACCCAACTGCATCCAAATTGCTTAGAATTGGAAGCCGTGAGTCCGGCCCAGAGGTTCAATGCCATATTTCTTCAATTCCTCAATTCCATGGCTCTTGGACTCTCTAATGTAGAATATTTTGAGCGTATGTTAATAAGCACGGCGGACATAATTCTGGCCTATTTGCGGGGGTGTACTCTTTCGAATAGCATGCACCTCGCTGGTTCGCAAACGACTGTAAAATGCATCCGCTACAGTCACGTCGCCAGCAACCAAAATGAACAATTCCCCACCAACATGACTCAACAGATGCAGGCGCCGGGTGCTCAGTTCGATCTGCTCAAGGCGAAATCAAAGCACATTCCTTTTTAAGGGGGCGGGGAGGGGAGGATGTTTTATTGGAGTCAGGCCGAGGTGTAATAGACCTTTCCTAACCTGTCACATCTTGCTGCGGGCCAGGTTCGAATCCCACCTAAGTCGGCAACTTGGCTTGCGGTTCCGGTCCCTACCTCAGTGGGGTCTACTTGCGAATATTCCTCTGGGGTTTTCCTCCCACCTCTAACGCTGTTATTTCTTTAATTGTCTTCTTCTATGTCGCTCATTGTTTGCTCTGGGTGTGTTGTTAGATGAACAAGTACTGTATAACTAAAAAGATGGGGGAAAAGGACAACTATTTTGTATTGTTCCACTTTGACCCCGTCTGAAAACCAACACGCTACTTGCAAGGTAGGCGTTACCATGAAGAAAGAAAGAGATGGGGGTTTAACAGGGAAGGGGAACCCAATTTCAATCAGCCCATGAACTGTCAGTTAACTTGTCAGACAGTAACTATGGAGTTCTGCATGCGTTTCATTTGGCACTGTTACCACCACAATATTTTTTTCTTAATTAATGACAATATTCACTCTTCCCGCTCGACAGTGTTCCTCGGCGCTCCACAACCCACCATCCAAAAGCTATTATACCGGCAACAATTTCTCACCAGGAGTGTTAATTCTGCTTGGCATTGTTGCAGGTCGCCAAGCAGCCGGAGCAAACAAACAAAAAATCAGGACCAACAAAAGAAGGACAAACAAGGCGAGAAACCTGAGGAACAACTCCTGAACTCTGGACGTCGTAAGCTCTCGCCATTCTTTGCACATCAAGATATGAGAGGATTATTTTTTTTCCGGGCCCTGGCACCCTGACTCATACACGAAACAACAACCCTCAGATAGGTGGAAGGTTACCAGTGTAGCGGCAGATTATGTAAGTGGATCGCAGCGCGAATGCGTGCAGTGAAGGTATTTGGAGACAGGCTGGTTCGTAAATTAAGCTACACAATTTCCCAGAGATGGACGTCTTAAGTTGAAGACTGGTGTAAGAGACCTACTTCTGGCAAGAGACCGTTCCTTCCGAGGTAAGTGTGAGTCTGTTTAAAACTAGGTACAGATCAATGGAAAGGAATCCACTTAGTCATGGTACAGTCTTTGGTAACGTAGCGCCCTGTCCGAAACGGGCTTCTGGATCTACGGCTAGGTCTATTGTCTTCGCGTCTCCAATTTCCAATGGAACGAAGACCTAGACCTAGCTCTTGACCAGAGATTCGGATGCAGCCGTAGTTTCAAATCTAAAAATGTCCTCCGAACCCTGTCGTCTCTAACAAGGTTTTAAATCATGATAAACAATGACTATTATTTTAATGTCGGCGTCGATATTATTGGTCCATCCAACACGATATCTGTGAACTATATGCATTACCCATGAAATCTATTGAATTGTTTCGTTATCCATTAAACTGATTCCATAAATGAAAATCAAACGTGTTTTATCTGTTAATATTCTAGGCCCTTTTTAGATCAAGCCTCTGCGTGTGTGGGCACCTGCTATTATCGTTTTTAACCTGAAGACATTTCGTCGCACTAATCAGACTCAAACAAGTTAATGACAGTACTTTTTTGGCATCGGAATATCACTCAAATAAGAAGAAATCAAGTGAATGAGACGGTGGCAGTGGTGGTCTGTGACTTAATTCTCTTGAGTCCAATTCCGGATGATTTAACTACCAACCAATCACAATGTTTCATGTACGTCCCAAACCGTATGATTTTCCATGGTATCAGCCTCTGTGCGTTTGGTGTAAGAATTTTACAAGGCTACGTAAGTAAGTTATGATACTCTGGCTCACTGATAAATTCGTCATCTTAGCCTCTTAATCAAGTATTCAGCTTTACAGTGGATGGTGTTACTGCATTCATGGAATGCCTTCTTTCTTATCAGCGCCATTGCTCAATACACTTTACTTCATGAGTGGTACCTCTTGGAATTGAACGAACAGAGACAGTGATGAGATGGGTAAACCTGCTGATAACCTTCAATTAACAACGATATATGACGGAATCCTCATCGGTACTCTGGCAAGGTTTTGTTCCGATTGTTGGCGTATACGGCACTGATGTCACGTGAGGAGCTGGTGCCCACGTGGTAAGACAAAGAAATCCACAGGTCACAAAGTGATGAACGAAACTGGACGTCCTTGATGAAATCACGACAGAGCTGTGAAACTAGCTTTCACCATTCAGTGGAGTTATCCTGGCACCCGTATATTCAGGAAACAGTTTAACTTAAACTGTTAAAGTTGCCTGTGCCGCGGTACTATGCACGTAGATCGAAGGGACAATCAGCGAAAATAGCCGGAGGCAGGCCTACGTGGTTTTAAATGCCACTCGTTTGATTTCTTTTGAAGATCGGTGTAAAGGATTTAGCTATTATTATAACAGATTGTTCATTCCGGATAAGAGAACGGCACACAGTGTAGAAGGTCGGTGGGCTCAACGGGGTGCAAATCAGTCGGATGGAAATGCGGGTAGTATTCGGCACGTGTTAACAACGATCATGAATTTAGCACGAAGAATGATCCACGTCATAGAAATTAACATCGAAATCTGACGGAGTCGAAAGTGTTCCTGGTTGAACAGTGGGATGTTAGGTAAGAAATAAAGTCTTAGATTAACATCACCAGCCAGGGTTTAGGTCGCAGTAAACCGCTTGCACCCGCTAAATCACGTGACCTTTGGTGGGTATCAACCCCATAGCAACGCGTGTTTTGAGTGTTGTTCACAGCCAAGTCACGGTACACTACCCAGCACATCAGTAGTCTCATTACGGCACTTGCCCTCCGCGTCATTTTTGGAAAACTATGCTTATGAAACACTTTGCTTTTGGTGGTGAACGCCGTGTTTGTTAATTTCTATAGGACTTTGCGTATTCCAGTTGTAAACCCAGAGCTGTAAAGCGTCAGCTACTGTGTGCTAATTGTCCATGACTGTGCGCTTGTACATAGTGCCTTGTGGGGTACGGGAACAATGGAAGGTACCCCCACAAGGCCAGTTTTGATCCTTCTGGGGTACTAAAGTGGTACCCCACAAGAATTTCACGAAATAGATATTTCAAATTTGCTCAGAAAGTAGGAATTTTCAAGTGCCATTCATCCGCCGCAAATTGAAGTGTTTTATATAAGGGACATACGGTCGAAATTTCAACCCAGGAAACTGAATTTGGTTGAAATGGCAGTGATTTGAATTTTTTTCCGTGTGGTGTGGGAGTTTTGTACACGAGAAGAAAGGAAATACGTCACAAGTATACATATGCAAGGTGTGTGTACTGGCGAATGATCCACCATTTTGGTTCCGACAATTAAGACACATCATGTTTCAACGCTCTTCATCGTTTTGCGCTAGAGACTTGAGAGAGTGAAACCAGTCGACTGAAGTTGACAAAACTTCTCTCTAGTCTGGTAACCTGACCGTGGAAGTGTTGGTGATGCTTTGTGTATGTATCAGGGGGGGGTTTGACCCAAGTACATGCACCTGATTTATTTGTAGTATGTACATTAAAGAAGCCTTGTAGACTGATTGAAGTTACAAGATGGCTCGACTTCTCTTCCTGTATTGATTCACGTGTTCAGCACCATCAGTATTTTCGAGTCTTGCCCACAAAAATGACGAGTCACAGATCTTTGATCGATGCAAGCTCATTAGAGGATTAAAGCGCTGACTATGAATTTTAGAGGATTAACCAAAAACCTGTTGATCAGTTGGCAAGTTATCAGCCCATACGATATACATGTACCTCATCGTCTAAGTAGTTTCATGTGTTCCTCATGAAAAATGTGACTCGTCTAATAATCTCCACCATTAGTCATTTCTGGCAGGTTTTTGAATGATCAACAATGCATCATACAGGGAAATATGCCATAGGGACAGTGCAATAATTTTCAGCCGGAAATATCGTACTCAACAGAAAAGAAGTAAGTTCGCCGCTAACAGATTAGATGGAATCTTTTTTGGGTGGCTGGATTTGGATTTCCAAGCGTCAGTATAGGCTTTGAAAGATTTGGTTTCTATTTGTTCTCCTCGTTTATCTTTGTTGCTCTAGGACACTCTTCAAAGAACACTTGAAAGAGGTGATCTAGAGGCTTAGCCAAAAGCTAACAAACGCTGCTCGATGTCTTGAAGTTGCGCCCGTGCATTGCCCGGAGGTGACATATTTGTGCTATACTTGGCTTTGGGGATGTCTTGGACTGCCGGAGTATGGGCGGATGATTTTATGGCGATATGCCAGGTATTTTGCCGCGAGGTAAAAACGCGGGCTGAGGCGGATGCACATGAGCAGTGTTCGTAAAGCTTGTAAGGAGATATCCGACTTTTTAGTTGACTTAAATTGGAAGTTGCCAACCTTCTATCAGCAAAACATGAATAAACAATGCCTGACATTTTTGTATCGATACTAGACAATTCGGTTGTCATTTTGATGTCAGTATCGTAAATGACTTCCACGGGACAAACATACATCTCATAAACACTATCGGTACCAGACTATGCAGTCATCGCCGCTTTCTAGATACAGTAATTACAATAATAATCAAAGATGGCCGGCGTTTAAGTTGACACCTTGGGGGTGAAGAAAGCAATTATTAGTAGAAGTAAATAAGGGCAACTTTGACCAAAGGAGGAAGTGATGCGATTAGTGATTGGAAGATTGGTCGAAATAAGTAAATTAATCGGCAATAACTGATTAATAACTGGACAATGTCCGATAAAGACGGAAACTTCAAGAGTTTACAAACAATGCATTTCAAAACGAAGATCTTGGATTGGAAAAGCCCAGACTTGAAGGGGGACAGATTTCGCCATTTTTGGCCTTGGGAGGGCCCAGTCCTCGGCGTAGGCCTGGTCTTCCACACTGAAGTGATAACTCAACCTGTGGCAATCCGATGCAGGAACTCCGTACAAGATCAATACTCTTTTGTACACGTATAGGGCTTTACATTGGAGGAATCAATGGCTTTATCATACGGGGCAAACGCTTTGATGCAGTTAAGCATGCTGCGGTCGCTGGCTGTCGCATTATGATTCCAGAAAAATCGATGAAGTACCAGTACCCAATATTTCTTTTCATGGTGTTGGGAAGGTTGTCGGTTCGACTCGGTATTAAACGTAGCCCAGGCAGCCGAAGAGTGGCACAGTACAACGGGCTGAGAATCTGAGAGCAAAGTTGGATGAGCGTCCGAAACAGAATCGGTACGGGAAATTGATTGCGAAATCGATACTAAAGATGGTGAATTTACTGACGCGTTAGAAAAAAAAATAGCCAAATCGATGCATTCACAGCCTCAATTGAGTTAAACCGCACGTCGGGAGGACGCCCTGACCCGTCCAAACTTTACAAAATCGTTGTCAAAATAAGAACAAGAAGTCACTCAAGAAACTCATCGAAATCGACGGCAATCCCGAACGAACACCCTGCAACCCTATGTTTCTTTTTCCCCTTAATTTTTGATAGGTTTAATTTGCACTTTGCAGATCGGAGAGGGGCGAACTTGAAGTAACGCGTCACCATGACGGCCTCTGCACCGGACACTGAGACGAATCTGGAGGAGGAATTCGTCAGCAACACCACCCTCCACGGCATCGCCCGCGTGGCCCACAACAGCCGCACCATCTTCCGCTTGGCCTGGCTGGCCATTATGCTCGTCTTCCTGGGGGTCTGCATTGCCCAGATTACGGACCGTCTCCAGCGCTTCTTCATGTACAAGGCCAACACGGCCATCTCGGTGGAGTACGTGGGCGACCTCGATTTTCCCGCCGTGACAATTTGCAACTTCAATAGGTAGCTTTGACTTCATTCAGTATATCAACTTGCTTTCGTTTGTACTTTTGTTTACCACTTTTGATGACAGTGCCTTTTATTATTATTTTCTGTAGGTATGACGTCTAACATATTTTCTTGCCATAGTTCATTTTCACTGACGTCATACATTTCCTCAAAACCTCTTTGATCCGCCATCTTTGATGCAATGTTCTTTTCAAAACAAGCGTTGGCATGCCTCTAACCGCGACTTTTTCACTGAGGTTGCCAGAGTTTCGAAGTATCCAACTGTTTTTCCAAAATGGCCTGAGGTAGCCTATAATGTACAGTGCATGACGAGCCGCAGAATATTGGGGGAGATGTGGAGACTGCACAGGGTCTGTAATAGACCTGTCAGTACATTGACATCGACGTGGATTACGTCATTATTTGCCTGTACGCACACTTTCCAAAGCAATCCGTTGTTCCATGGGAATAATTGCTCACAAAAGACCAGCTCTTAGTTTTAGCCTCTTCTCAAGCAGTCACGTTCTGTGTGTTGCTTGTTATCATGACAGATGCCTCTCCGTAATATGCCAAGCACACTGGTCTTTACAGATCAACGGGAAACCGTTATAGACTAGAGAGTATGACATACAAGATTAAGCTCCTGAATTTTGCTCACCTGTCGGGGTGACTAAGTTAGTAGCGACTACTAGTCAGTCGCGTCTGACGTTGTGACTTTCAAGTATCTTTCTCGGAAATTGCTCTCACTTCCAACTCAGAGCAGCTAGAAATGTTTGGGGAAATTTTCATATCGCATATTCGGAAAAAGGTGAGTACCTCTGTGATGTATATAAATTGCATACAAAGAGATTGTTGAGGTCAACTCGGAGGTCAAGCCTATTTTCTGTTTGATTTGGAATAGCTGGCCAGAGTTCACCGTACATGGGTTTCCCTTAAACAAAGCACCAAATTCATGCTTTTTCGCTGTTTAAATTTCATAAGGACGGTATTTGACACTGGTGTATTTCGCCTTGCGTCCAAGTGTGAAAAACTAATTTGATTACCCGCCTCAGGCAGAAGCATCCCTGCTTCGGTTGAAAAGAGCCATACTGGTCGGGAGATTCCCTTGGAAGGGATGCGACCGTAACGCGTGCATTTCATAGTCGTATGTGAACCACCGAAGTGCAGTTCCGACCAAAGGAGCCTCCGATGCTGAGAAAGTCCGACTATTCGATTCTAGGTTCACCCTTCTGACCATTTGTCCGCAGACGACAGCGCTAGCCAAACGTTAGTAGACAGATTAAATTTAGAATTAACAGCAACTTTTAATAAACTTTTAAACTGGCCTTGGATTGTTCCTAAATATAGGTACCGCTGGAGTGAGCTGACGTCAAGTGACCTTAGGTCGCTCAACTACATCTTAGAGGCCACCGATTACGACTATGACTCGTACGGGGAAGCCAGCTCGTCGTCGCTCTCCGATACCTACCCGCTGGACGACGACAACGCCAGCTCGGCCTTCAACTACACCGAGTTCACGCTGAGGGCGGGGTTCCTCATGGACGACCTGACCCTGCTGAGCTGCGAGTGGCGTGGAAAGACCAACAGCTGCTCGGCCGCTGTAAGCTATAGCCTGGTGCCCTTAGTCTGTCCTTTCTCTTGTTCACTCGATCTTTGGGATCGTGCTACCTACCTATCCACTACCTATGTCCCATGGCAGTCACTCCGTATACACACCCCCCTTTCTGTCATCAAAAGGGGCGTTTTAGAATGTCCAGTTCAGATTCGATGGATTTCTCTGTCGGAATGAAGTCAATAAATTCAGTGCTGTTGAGCGATTCCTTCCATGACGGCATAACTCGGCGGCACAGTGCCTCTACACAGAATTGTACACAGAAATGCCGTCTTGACCATGTCTAGTATCTGGCTGCTGTGGTATTTACGTAGCTCTAGCTAGGCCACCATTTTTGAAGGGATGCACATCTAAGGAAGTTAGGTTTCCTGCCTGATTATAAAACCAAATCAAAGTTGTTCTTTACTGAAAATTGTGATAAACGGACAGAGAGCGAGCTCTTAGTTCGGGATTGGCTGTAGGATTCAAAATCAAGCAATGCGCAAGGCAGTAACAGCAGAGGAAACATGTCCGGCGAATTCTCCAGAAACTTGAAATCATTCAAATTGTTTTTCTGAGCAGGGTCCAGCGGTTGTTTCCTTTTTCTTTCCAGAACTTTTCGCACGTCTTCACCTCCTTCGGCAACTGCTGGACTTTCAATTCGGGATCTGACGGCGGGCCGCTTCTGAAGGAGATCCAGGCAGGAGCTGGCAACGGACTCAGAGTGCAAATTGACATACAACAGGTAGTGAAATTAATGATTTGTCACTTAGTCCAATTTATTGGATGTGATTCGTTTGGCCACAAATAGCAAGCACTTTGAGCGCTTTATACGAAACAACCACGGAGATTTATATCTACTTGACGTTACATGGTATCTGTCCGCCTTGAATAAAGCGCCTCTCATTGGTTAAAAGGAGCCATTTTGCTGGGGAGCGTTCATTTTGTTGGTAGCGATGCGACCGTAACTCGTGCATTTTATAGCCGTTTGTGAATCAGCGAAGTGCAGTTGCCACCAAAGGAGCCTCCGTTGCAAGGGAAATTGCGCCCTCTCCTAGTCCATGCCGAGGCTCATTGGGCTAAGATGTACATACTTCCGGGCTGAAATGGCCAAGCACGTGTATTCCCTTTGTGCCCCGAGTGCAACCAAGAGAGGCGCAATTTCCCTAGCATGAGAGGCGTTTCTGTCGCGAAGCTCCCAGCCAAAATGAACACTTCCGACCATCATCTTTTTTAACCGATGAGGGGTACCTCTACCTCACATTAAAAAACGAATGTTTTACTACTTAAATCACTCGATTAATTGAATACATTAAGTTGTCGCTTTTGATCATTCTGTACAATCCCCTATTAACATTTTGACGCTGAATCTCAGCTCCAGGCTTTTGATTTAAACTAACTTTATATTATCTGCAAACTACATGCAGAATGAATACACAGAGCCCCTGTCCGGGAACAGGGAGGCTGGACTGAAGGTCCTAGTTCACGACCAGCAAACCCCGCCCATGATGGACTCGCAGGGATTCGCAATACAGCCGGGGGTTCACGCCTTCGTGGCCACTCGCAGACAACAGGTCAGTGTTCAAGTCAAGTTCTGGCTTTGATTTACGTGTAGTAGACCCACCTGAATGTCCCTTGGTACCCTGCAGAGAATCCGGACTTGCGCCCAGAGGGGCGCATTTGTTTCTGAAACACGACTTTTATAATTTGCGTCCCTAAAAGAATCCTCTCTCCTCAGGTATGCAGATATGTCCTAAATGCCGGCTTTCAAATCCTGGAAAAATGGCAACCTGCCTGTCATGGAGAAACTTGCCCTCCCCCCCAAAAAAGAGGGAAAAGGGTGGGTTATAAATATCTTGAAAAGGACCACTTTCACTCTATGTAGAGGAAGGTTTTAGGTCTAGCAGCCACAGCGGTCATTTTTCCGAAATCGACCGAAATTTTCTCCGTTGATTTTCAGTACTGTCGTCAATCCACCTCGAGCAGAAGCACCCCCTCATCGGTTGAAAAGAGCCATGTTGGTGTGGAGTGTTCAATTTGTTGGCAGCGATGCCACCATAGGCCTAATGAATGCATTTCGTAGTCGTTGGTGATTCAGCAAAGTTCCGCCCAAACGGGTCTCCGTTGCCAAGAGACTTGAGCACTCTCTTGTCCAGCTTGAGGCCACATCCACAAATACTGGGCCTGTGTCTTTATTTCCTGTCTCCCCATCTCCCCATTACGTACTACAGCTTCAAATAGGGTCATTGCTTTTTCTCGGTATTTTTTGTATACGGATTCTCTTTCTCATAACTTTTATCATGTTGAGTGTCCAAAAACTAAAATGAAACTAAACAGAAGTGTGCAACTAAGATACATCATGCTTTATATTTTGTAGACGACAGTTTCTTGCCATCATATAATTTGATTGGACAGAAAACCAGGCTAAGCAGCCTCCTTGATTAAAACACCAGTAACTATGACAGATTAACCAATCCTATTGGTTGAGAGCCCGTCACGTGGCCGGTCTTGAACGACTGATAAAGCATCCAGTTAGCCAATAGCATTCTGCGCCAGCTCACGCAATGAGAAGCAAGTTGCCATTACAGAAGATTGCAGTACGGTGACTTGTGACAGGAGCATACCAAGGCATGGCCAGGGGATGGTTAAAATGAAGTGAAAATTGCTGAAAGAGATCGTTGGAAAATTGCAATTTTTTAACATTGTAACTTTCTAACTTAATTTAAATGGGTATTCGTGAATTGGAATAAATCTGTGCTTGGACGGTCCTTAACGTTTATGACCGGAAAAGGACAAGTTCATTGCCTTACATACATTTGGCTTTCACAAATGTTAGACTTTCAAATTAAAAATCGATGTGGTGTTACGATATAGGTAGACGCAGAAGTAAATTGAGATAAGCAGTCGATTAATATTACACATAAATCGTTCCATGCCTTAGTTTCTCAACCTCGAGCCCCCGTACGGCAAGTGTGACGCTTCCAGGACACTAAACAGGTTCCCGAACTACACACTCGAAGGATGCAACATTGAATGTCGGACCGAAAAAATCATCGAGAGGTGCAATTGCAGGCTTGTCAGGTACCTCTGTATATTATTGAAAGACCCAAGTTGTCTTGGTAACCATATATTGGAAAGAAGTAGACTACGGAGGCTGTCAAATTTTGCTCTATCAGTTCGCGTCAGTGATATACGATTGCTTGATGTCAAATGAAATCTCTTTTCTTTCAACGATGAAAACAGAAATGAAACCAAAAATGTAACGCATGCGTTGGATTTTGTTTAATAAAAGTAGAAACCCACGAGTTTCGAATTTTGTAAAATTGAAAATGCTGAATATTGAAAAGCTTTCTGCTATTTTTTGACATCTGCTTGTTGCTTTGTTGATAGTTTAATAAGAGCAGGGAAATTAGGGTAGGTAATGCGTGATAACTGTTTATTGTTGTTAAAATTGAGTACCGGTATTTGTTCTAATGAACAGGCATCCTGGCACTGAAGTTGAATGTACACCGAGGCAGACGAGTGAATGTGCAAGAGACGTACTGAGTAAGTTTGTTCACATTGCCTCCATGGGTTTCACATCACAGAGTGTGTTGTAACGTGCAGTTATTGTCTAAGATATGCATGTAGATTCCATGATTATGAATTCTTCAGACAGTTTACCAAGTTCTGTTGGCCAAGATCCTGTCACACTAGTTTGTTTATAACAAATGACGAAAGTACCACGTGGTCTTAAACGTATTCTTGGTCTAATCTAGAAATTGGACTCGTATATTTCACAGGACTCTAAGCCACATACATAAAAATCATCGCTACGGAGGCATGCACTGTAAAACTGTGAATCGGAAACGACACCAGCTGGCTCAGTCTATTTCCATATTGGGGAATTTTCCGGTTCGTGTGAGAGATATCATACATATGACTAAACGGGTGACAATTGGATATCTTTGCACTACCTGTAGCGCCCTCTGTCGTACCACAATGTCTTTTAATTGCTCACTGCACAGTTGTGTCTTAAAGTCTTAATAACGCCGACGGCCTTTCTACAGGCAAACTTAGAAGCGGGGAGATACCGGCATGCGACTGCCCAGTCCCCTGCAACTACACAACGTTCAGCACCAGCCTGTCCACGGCCACCTTGCCTAACCAGCGGGCGACACAGCTACTGGTCGACCAGTATGACGACCTTGCGCAGTACAGCTCCAACATTTCCGATACGACGAACACTGGCAGCGCAAGCAGTGCAGGGCAATCTAACCCGATTCTACTCGACAGTACTTACATGCAGTAAGTCTTCCTCTCTTTGCAGAAAGACTATTTGGCCTCCATTTCGGGTCACGCGTATTGAAAAGTGCAACATTTATACATATGAAACTATCCATGCATTTTTATACAACTGAGGACGCTGTTGCTGTAATGTCAATTTGAATAGACACTGTTCTTTGTGTAGATTTTTCTATTAAGATTGTGAAATCAAAGTTACCTCGTTGAAAGAATTGGGCATGTTAGTAGATTGGAAGGCCCCCATTGAACACATGATAATTACTGTCGATGGCCTTTCCAAAATCGGACTTTCGACTTGCCTTCCAGCAATTATAATGTACGATATAGCAACAGAATTATCAAAATACATATTGCTCCTTTTTACATGTAAGAGAAACCTTCGCAGTTCCTTCACGTGGCTCAAGAAATTCAAAGGTCAATTCATGATCAATTAGCTGGACTCATATAAATAATATATATAATGTGTGCAGTTCTGTATATAATTGTGGAAGACTACTCGGTCTCTGTGGTCGTTTCCTTTTATTTACTGGCAGTTAAAACGATATAAAATATATGACATGAACAGTAAAGAAATATATTGGGTAATATCTGATACGTATTTTTTTTTCTCAGAAACAATTGGATTTTACTGGATGTATTCTATGAGAACATTAACTTTCAGCGATACGAGCAATCGGAGGCTATCACACCCTCAGCATTAATTAGTGAGTACCCAAACTTCTGTCATAACGACCATTATCTGAAGTTTCACTTCGCGTCCGACATTAAATTCATCCTTGGATCTGATTCACGAATGAAAATACTCTAACCTATACCTTTGACCCCACATTTCATGCTTTGAACCGAAGCCAGGATTTAGAAGATCTGCCAGAAGATACTGAAAACCCTACTCTTTTTGTAGCCCCTATGCGGTTCACAATTAATCGCTTAATCTTATCCCAAGATGCAGCACTTCAAAATTTTTGCTCTCCTATTTTAACCGTATAGTTTACAGTCTCTTGTTATATTGAGAACTCGTTCATATAGTGGGCTGTAAACCCATCCACCTCCCTCCCCACCACACTTATACCTTGTGATCGGGACATCCGTCAAAATAGAAAACAAAATACTGCAAAATCTTTCAATGCACCATTTTGATGAAATATTTAGGAAATGTACACTGACATGTTTATTGAGTCCGTTACCTCCGGCCACAGCCGGCATGTAATTATAATACACGTCCATGGAAACCGAAAATGCACTTGTTATAATGCATAAGTGGAGGTCAAATATTCCCAATATAACAAATAACCTAAAATAGATTTGGGTGGGAGAGAAATTGATTAAAAACTGGTCTGGGTCATTCTTGCAAACCCGAACAATGATCAACCCAAATGAATACTGAACCCAAAATGTTGTTGACCGGGTAGGCCTAAGCTAAGTTGGTGTCTCTCCCACAGGTGATATCGGCGGTCAGCTGGGATTGTTTCTCGGCGCAAGTTTCATCACCCTGACGGAGATTCTCTCCTACCTGGGCCGTAAGCTGGGCAGTATCCTGGCATCGAGGAGACCGAGGAGGGCAGCAACAAGCCCTGACACGTCCCCAGGGTGGGATATGAACGGTGTGAAAATTACATAGCTCTTATGTGCCTCCTTGAGTTGAGAGTGCTCTCGTGGTGCTGTGAATATATGGAATATATGTACGGTTTTATCGTATTTTATCGTGGTTTCACGTCGGTTTGTGATTCAGTAAAAACTTCTTTATCATGATTTATCGGCGCAGATTCCTTATTCCTATATAGTAGGAACTGATATGCAATAAGGATAATCTTCCTGAGATAAAAGGGTCATCCCACGTCTGAAGGTAGATCCCTTAAGATCAATTTGTGTCTAGCATCAGCATTTTGACAAGCGAGGCTGACTATATTAACAAGCGTCTGAAGTGCGGTGCCTCATTACACGGGCGTTTATATCAAATGTGTTTTAATTGATCACAAGTGGCAGGATTGTGGTGGAAAGTGCCTTCCGCCCCAATTTCATTTTTTTACCCAAATCTACACGACCTATGAAAGTTGCAGATATTTTGCTTTTAGTTCCCCGCTTGAAAAAAAATCTGCATCCTCGAATGTATTTCACAGAAATGTCACCCTACTGTATCTATTATAGTCCCGTGACTGTTGCTCAAGTTTCTTCTTAGGCATCATTTCCTGTAGTTCATTTAACTGTTCTTCTTGCGTGCATGATAGATTCTCGGTACAAAAATTCCTCTTCCCAAAAAAATGCAACTTTTATAAGTATGTTTTTAAAATGTCATTGAAGCTGCGTAAAATATATGTAGACGTTGTTTATGTTTCTGTCTTTTTATCAAGGAAGACTTACTTTCAAGGCGATCTATTTTGCCTTCTGTGTGCTTGGGCTGGTGATCGTTTTCTCACCGGTACCCGCAATGAGTTTAAATATTTACTAATAAATTGCACGGATATATTTCGATGCTTAAGTTGTGCTGAGAACCTCTCAAAATTGTTTATTTGATCTTTATTATACTGATGGATAAGGGCCAACTTTGGGGGGGGGGGCGCCATTTGAGGACGAAAAGTAAAATGGCGGATTAATCCCTCCTCGGGCTATGCGTTCGAGGTTGCTCGTCTTTCACTTGCTGCACTCTTCCCCGTCTCCAGTTTCAGGGCGTAGTGTCTTTACAGACAGAATGGTAGAAGCCGTACGTGTTTGTGTACGCAGCGGAGTATATTTACATGTATTGCGCACATTGCAATGGGCGCCATGTCATGTAGTGTGGTGTTCGAAACCGCACAACGAAATAGCTTGGCGTCATGCCGACATTACATTTACACCTTGTTTTTAGGGAGCACTCATCACGTGTGCTTGAATTAAACTAAAGAGTGTTCGTTTATTATTTTCCCGTTTGGATACCGATGTCCGAACTGACAACCATTATACGCAAGCTAATTTACACATTCACCCAGAGGTCTCGAGCGGTTGAAAGGCTACGCTTTTACACAGTCCATTCTCATTTGTTGTAAAACCGAGAAATTATTACTCTCTATTTTTGGGCAAACCTTAGTTTCTAAGTTCTGGGTAACGGCATCAGTGGACTTTTTGTATGAAAGTAAACAGATGTACATTATTTTCAAATCCAAAATCAAAATGAATGTCGAAATCTCTGATGACTGGTGCACTAAGCTTCCAAGTGCACTATAATATTATGTATTGAATATCTTTTCCAAAAGACAGATATGATATCGTATAGAAAATCTCACGTGTAGCCTGTAACTGCAGACGGATACTGGCAAATTGCCGGTAGCTATTTTGCTTTAAAAGGCTTGACTAGCCAGTTAGACGTCAAAATTCTTTTCTGTTAATAAACAACCTTGTCTTCAAATTGGAACTGTTTTTGGTGGTAGACTCTTTTTCGAGTGCAGGATTACTCGCCCATCACAGAAATCAGAATACATTCACCTCTTTTGTTAGCAAATTGCAAAACTTTTTTTACAGTTTGGTTACTGTTGCCAAACAGTCGTTGGACTAGGCCCTTTTCCAATACTCGACTTGGGCTCCGTCTCAGGCTTCGTTCCCAAAACCAATCCCTGATTACGGGCCTGAAGCGTTTAAATTAAATTAGATTACTGTAATTTCTGGCTCTCTTGAATCTTATTTGATGTTTTGTGGCACTATTAGACTAATTGCTGCGCTTAAAGCTTCAAAGTCAGCTAGTTAAAAAACGGGTGAAGCCTGGACGGGACCGAAGTTGAGTATTGGAAAACGGCCCTACTTCAAGTTTGTCTAGACAAGCCTGGTTCCCTAACGTCGCACGCAGATAGTAGCGCATAGTCAGTTATGTTGCTAGCAGTTCAACTCCAGACGCTGTGCAGCGAGCAGTGTTGTATAAGTTATAAGGTCGAGATACAGTGGTCAGTTTCACCGGGGCCTGTGCAGCGTGGTGGTGTCGGTGATCTGTCGAGAGCCAGATGGTGAGACCTTTGAGTAATTGTTAGCAAGTTGGTTCACTTATCTCAAAGTGAGGGTGGGTTTGGGTGGCTGTAAAGTTGAGCAGAAGAGACTGGGAGACGTTAATGCTTGTGTGGCTCGATAGTGCTAGCTCTACTGAGTGCAGTGAACAGTATTCCTCTTTTTCGAATTTTGGACTGGATCGGTCATACCGACGCTCCATGACATTAATTACATCTAGAAATGTGACAACGGTTCTCAAAAGTTCCAAAGACTCACCAAAAATGCCCTTTTCATTTCATGTACCTACTGGCTTTCTTAAATGCCATAGGCAAACTTTTGGTGCATTTGGTGATATTTCCAACTTCAAATCGGTCAAAATCCAACCATTTTTGCTCCACACATGCACGACACTTAGGCCTACACTTTTAGATGCCACCTCCCATTCAAGTATGCGTGCCAAGATTTTGTTACCGCATACTCTATGTTTGCAAACATGGTCCCCCCAGATGCACACATGAGTGGCTTATACATGGTCTGGGCACAAGACTTGTTGATTCTAAGGTTTGGGAGTACTACTAACGACTGTTTGCTGGTTAATATGTCTTGTGCCCCGACTACATATGGGCTGCTCCTGCGGTTTCGTTTTAGAGGACCATGTTCCTCCATAGAGTTACCGTGCCAACAAAATTTAGGCATGCGTATTTGAATGGGCAGAGGCGTCAAAAAGTCTATGTGTTGTACGTGTGTCGAGCGAAAACGGTCAAATTTTGACCAATTTTGAAGTTGAAAATATCACTAAAGCCCCAAAAGTTTGCCTATGGCATTTAAGAAAGCCAGTAGGTGGTGAAAAAGGTATTTTTTGGTGAGTCTTTGGAATTTTGGAGAACCGTTGTCACAGTACCATATGTAATGTCGTGGAGCATTAGTATGACCGATCGATCCAGTCCAAAATTTGAAAAAGAGGAATACTAACGCTCCACTCAGTAGAGCTAGGCTCTTGCAGTACATGTCAGGACCCCCTTGTCGGAATCAACTTTTTTGACATGTTCTCAATGTACTTTGGGTTGGATGACGAAACAAGTAATTATTGCATGTTATGCACAGCACTGTAGGAGAATTGTACCTGCTAAATATTTGTCTGTTTCCGTGTCATTAAACAGCTGTCGTCTTTTTACATAGTGTTGCATGTGAGATTTGTGATCAAGATATTAAAAAACCTCAAATATTATCCCTAACCCTACATAATACTACAAATTACAACTTGTAGTAAAATGTAGTACTGAGCGCTGTCGCTTGTAAGAGGACATGACTTTGTTGTTCTCTGAAGCTATAAGATACAATAGATAAGACAATGTACCATACAGTGCTGTGGCACTATGAATACATGGCTTTATTGTTCTCTGTACAAGTAACAATGGAAGTGACCTAGCCAGAAGTAGTAATCTGTAGCGCTAGGTCCTTCAGGCTCAGACTATTACTTAGTATTTCGTAGTACTGTGTAGTGTAAGCCAAACAATATGCTTGGCGGTTAGCTTAACAGGAAAACAAATTCGCGAAAACCAATTTTTTGTTTTGGACTAAGATCGTGAATATTAATGAGCTAATGTTGACCAATCTGAATCACGACCTGAAGCTCAATCATTCATCATGTATTGACCAATACTTTCCATTTTTCTGTCTGAAGTGACTGTTACCCTTTAAAAAAGTAATTAAGGACAATTTCTTTTCCTTTTACAAACTATTGAAAACTTGCTTGTGTTTTTGAATATTTTTCTTCAATAATTTGCATGCACGTGTTACTTGATGAGCAGTTGTTTAGAAATATCCTGAAGAGAATTGTAAATTGATTTCTGACTGGTTCACTTAACCTATAGGTTTATGCATAAAATGCCTGATTAAATGTTTGCCATCCAGACCAAATTATCCACTGTGAACTTAGAAAAGATTTATTGAGAGGCTGGAAGCCTGTCAGCCTGATGGTTACCAGTAGACACACTGAGGTTTACCTGGAGCTCCGTAGCCTATCCGCCTTCGGAGCAGAAGCATCCCCCGTCAGTTGGAAAGAGCCATATTGGTAGGGACTGTTCGTTTCGGTTGGTAGCTACACGACCGTAACACACGCAAATCATAGTCGTTAGTGAACCAGCGAAGTGCTGTGCCCTCAACTGGAGCCTCCATTGCTAGAAGATTTGCACCCTGTCTTGGTTGCGCTCAGGGCTCATAATCTGAGGCATAGGCTTACTTATTTTCAGTTTGCTCCGAGGCTTTCTTGAGGATTCTTTTGGATCATTGTGTACAGTTGCATGATTTGTTACTGTTAATCATACTAAGTATCACGGAGAGATTTGTTACGATTGTGGATTTATACTCATTCTGATACACGTCTGTTATTTATTGCAGAGTCTTCCTAGTCATGCTTACTTCTGTCATCTTTGTACATAAAAGAGATAATAGTTGTGAACTTGATTAAGTCATAAATCTTGTGCAGAGTTTAGGGCTCTGTACTGCCTTTCTTCATGTAGTTCATAGTTGTTCTGTACGACACCGTGTATACTGAGGCTTATTGAGTTCTGCCTCATCATTAAACGGTTGGCATATTTCCGAAAACCCCCCCCCCCCAGACTGGCCTGGACTTGGGCCAGTTCGTGGCGCCGTTCCCCATTATGTGTGCATAGCTGTCAAAGTTTAACAGGTGTTTATTTGTGGAAAAGTCATGGCCCGCTGTCGTGTTGCTATCTCTTGCTCATCAACCGGCGTGTGGTCCACATTTATTTGTTGGACACAGCGTGTATATCGTCTTCAAAGTTGTCTCAATCCTCATAAGTAGTTAGCCATCTGAGACAAGGTTTCAAGTAGATTTTCGATGATGCATTTTTAATGTATTACCTGTTCCAAAACATTTCTATGTTGTCCTGGGCTCTTTAAAATGGATGCAGCCCTTGCGAAACCGTCGGGACCAATTCCACCTCGCGTCTTCTGGGAGCAATTCTTGGACAGCACTGCGTCAGCAGCACTCGTACACCCGCCTGGAACTGTTTGTACTTGAAGGCGTAGATGATAGGATTGATACAGCAGTTCAGCTGAACAAGTACCAGCGAGACGAAATAGAAAGTACCATTGAAGTCTATCTTGAATCCGAAGTGGAACATCAGAAACGCGATCTGATTTGGCGACCAGCAGATGGTGTACGTAATAAAGACGATGAAAAGGGTCAACAGTGTGTTTCGCCTGGCACGGACTAGAGAACCACTCAGGCTGTTGCTGTTATTCTGGCTGCTTGTCGGCTCAGCATGGACTGTAGATGAGGCCTTCTTCAGCTGATAAATGATGTGGACGTAGCAGGAAGTCATAAAGATCAAGGGTAGTAGATACTCGACGAGGAATGAAATAGTTCCCCATGAAAAGCTCGCAGCTGGAGAGAGACTGGTAAACATGCAAGTATGATCCGAGATCCGGTAGTAGAGGGCATCAGTAGCTTTGAAGGCAATCGCAAACGCCCAGACTGCCGCCAGCATGATCGTTGCTTGCTTTTTACCGAAGTAAGTCAGGTATTTCAGCGGGTGCGCGATGGCAACGTAGCGCTCCGCCGTGAGCATGACAAGATTCAGAGTAGAGGCAAAGAACAGAACCCAGAGGATTAGGTTGGCTCTCCAGATGTAGCACTGAATCGCTGCGATCACTGCGCTCTGATTCAGCTCTGTCGGCGCCGGGATGTTGCTCTGCAGAGCCATGACCAGTGAGCCGAGGAGATCGACGAATGCCTGGTTGAAGATGAAAGCGTTGGTCAGTGTTCGCATGACTGGGACCTTGACGATGACAACGCAGACCACTGCGTTACCAAGGATGCCAATTCCCCCGATAACCGTATGGAGGAAGGGCAATTTCGACTGCACTTCCATCTTCAAGATGTGCCACTATCAGCAAATTTAAGATAGGCCTAAGATGGGGTCTGGAGGGTAGTGTTACATCTTTTCCAAATGCCAGCATCCCACCCAACACGTTATTACATCATCGTGCTCACAGTTGGACCTTCTATTACCTTCCTTATATAATGTTCGTGTACCGTTCATCGGCAACCCAATTATTTGAGGTACTCCTGGCTGAAAAGAAAACAAGAAAGCTGCATAATGGCTTTAGTATTGCGCTCACACGCATGCAGGCTCTAATCTTGGAAAATTTGTTGTAAACGTAAGAGAAGCAAAACCATTAGCAAAATTGAATCACTGGCCGACCGGGGTTCGTTCAATTATTCCTTTGGGTTAAATTGACAAGCAGCGCAGCACAACGGCTGAATCTTTGCGGTTTTAATTTTCTTAAAAGCGACGGAGGAAGGAACAAGGGCAGAAAAACGTGTTCATTGGATTTCAGGCGCTGTATGTATATATAGAAGGGAATTCTTGTGTCGTCACGCTGTTATTTGTAATAACTCTACCAGGGGCCAATTTCATAGAGCTGCTTAAGCACAAAATTTGCTTAAGCGCGAAAAAAACCTTACTTAATGAATCAGGTAACCTGCCAAAACTCCATGTGATGTATATTGTTTTGCGATTGTATTTAGCTTTTTTTTTTGGTTAGCATGACAATCAGATAGAGTTTGAGCTGGTAACCTTTGTTAATTGAGCAAAGTTTTTCCCGCTGAAGCAAATTTTGTGCTTAAGCAGCTCTGTGAAATTGGCCCCTGTATTGATTCATGTAGAAGTAAAATTCCATAATTGTCTTTACGTTATTACGGCTCGAGTCATGGGTACAAATTGTATTTGTATGAAGATGCTTATTCGTGTAGAAAAGGGGCGGAATTAGACTGTATTTCAAAGCATCTAGCACTGTCACGTTTTACACTATGATTTCAAATTATACTTTTTAAAGCTGAAAACAAAGTATCCAACCTAAGATTAGAAAATGTGCAAGCTTACCATCAACGGATAATAATAACTTGCCATTGTCTATTCATATATATGTATCGATGGGGAAACAATTTTAAATTCTCCCTTCAAGAATTTTTGACGAACTTTTCACTCCGAAACTTTGTAGTCATTATTAATTTAAAGGCCGGTTCTGCAGGCGAATCTGAAAGTGAAGTGAATTTGACGTCATGAAAGATTTGCAGCAGAATTTCGCACGAGTTGCGTAAATGTTTGCTCTGCCGCCACATGGTCGTGTTTGTGTTCGCCTTTGCGCCACACATGAACATGCCTTTAGAATGTTCAAATCTCATTCCAACCACTTTCTTTGGGAAAAAAATAGAATCGTTTCTTCTCACAATTGTTTTCACACAGTTGCGTAAAACTTGTAAGAAAGGTGATAAAAGTGTTTCTACTTATAATTAAAACCCGCCAGCGGCATCAGTTCAAGTGAGGATTTCATCATCTCTTGGTGTTTTTTTTGTAAACCGATTAAATATATTGACTTGTCGCAAATTCACCAATTCGAATGAAACTGTAATTCAGAATGTCATTGACGATTTTTACCTTGTAAGAGATCCGTTCAGCATAATGCAGCATTTTATAGAACGTGTGCGATGTTTCACAAATGTAGTCATGTCGTGTTGTTAAAATAATAACCATTCTTAACACCAGTGTATTTGCACAATGAAACAAATGAATGCAGGCGACTCACAATAGAGTGCGCCACCAAGAGGTTGCCACGGAAATGGCATATTTGCAGTGCATTTGGGAATAATCGACAACTTCTGTTCGCCGGCCACCCTCGTCATATTCCTAAGGGGGTTGGTTCGTAAGCCCCTGTAGCTTTACTTTTATAACAATGACCACCAAGATATCACTTTAAATTAAATAGTTCTATTTCCATCACAAGCTTCCTAGTTGTATGTCAAGGCACAACGGACGCACCACCAGTTGGGGGGGGGGGTTACAGGGCTCTGCCTTGGAACCTGACCTGTCACATATCTCAGGTTCTGACTTTATGGAGCTTGATTTGTCTTGGAATGGGAATAGACTAACCTGTCTGTGGACCTGACTCCGTAGGACTTGACTTTTGACTTGTCTGGGGACGTGACTTGAACATCCCTGTATTTGGACTTTTCTAGGGACCAGACGTCTTGGGTCCTTATTTGTGACTTGCTTGTCTTGGGACCTGACCTATTACCATGACCGATTGATATTTGATTTTTATACACTTAATTGCAATCTGAGACACCTCCGACAGGAACTTTGTAACAAGGTGGTGCGGTGATGAGAGCACCCCCGGAATTTCCCCGAAAATGCAGAATAAAAAGAGGTGAAAAGAAAAGAAAAGAAAAGAAAAGAAGGAGGAACGAAGATAAATTTGATGGAATCAACGCTGTTGGGTGATCTGTTTGCCCAACAGTTAGGCGATCCACCCGGCACCCAACGTTAAGCAAAACAGTTGCTTAGTAATTTTACAGTGTACATAACTGCACAATATCACATGAAAAATCTTTTCATTTCTAGTTTATCTTTTCTAGGCTCGACACTTAACGGCACAACCAGAAAGCGTGTATCTGTTGTAGTCGGTTGGATTACTTAATATTTTGTAGAATTTGCCCCTCTTATGTTACGAGGAATCATGTCACTACACATGTACAGTGCAGTCGTGCTAAGTAAACTTAGTACATTAAGAATCTTACACCATGAAGGTATCTCCACGGATATATTTATCACGCGGTGGTTGAAAGCTTGTCTTCGATCGTTAAATGTGAGAGCGCTTACTATGTAATCTGTGCATCTAGGGCCGTGTTTGTTTCCGATGTGGATCTGGATCACGGTCAATGATCCGTCGTTGGTTTACGGACACCAAAACTCGCCTAATGGATGGTGCGAACCAGCTTTAGAATCACTGATCAAGACCAGGTCCGTGTGAAACAAAAAGCCTTGGGTCTCCGAGGACACGAGAGAATACTTAAGTAGTCAGTGTATAGCCAGGCCTCGGATACACTAACTCAAGACAGTCAGTGCAGTACTGGGGTACTTTAAAACAGTGTTGTTAAACACCAGAAGTTAGGGGGCAACTTCCCCGGAGGCATTTTGTCCATTTTCTTTTCATGAACCTAAATCACTTGCAAAACGGTGCCACAACCTTTCTTTGCTTTCTTTATTAATATGATAGAAAAGTTTGGGCATTCATTTTTGGAACAAAAAAATCACCCCCCCCCCAAAAAAAACCCCGGATCAGCCATTGCTTTAAGATAACCTTTAGTCAATCAGGGTCGTTAGGTCTCAGAAGACCGAGAAGAACCCTTACAAAATCAAAGTAGCAAAGTTTGAGATACTTAAGGATAACACCTCAGTAATCAGTGCAGCCAGGTGTTTGATATTCTGTATGACAACCATCATGATATCGCAGCCAGTGCGGAGATGCTAAAAGAGACACCCAAGATGTCTGTGCTGTCAGTGCTTGAATGCCAATTGAGAACCCTTTAGTAATCCGTGAAAGTAGGTCTGGGATATCCCAGAAAAACCCTACCAAGTAATCGACCAGATCTGGGATATCGGTACAGTATCTCAGACTTACTACAGTCTAAATGAAGTCCAGGCAGTTCTTAAAGAGGTCTGCAGTGAATTTGGTACGTGTATAAGATTACACGCAAGTTGCAAAAAAGCGAGGGAGTACATGTAATTGATTTTTCACAGTCTTGTTTTTATGACACTATTAAAAGCTGAATTTTCTTCTCACAGTATCTGTCAAACTTCGGCCCCTGCATCAGTTGGTCCTGCACGACGTAATGTACACTTTGTGGGTAGTTTATTCGTGGAAAGAAGACCGAATCAACGGTAGGCGATGGCGTATTAAGGTCAGAAGACGCTCTGATTCCTTTAGTCAATATGTTAAATTTTGTTTATTGTCTATGTACACGTAATTTGTTTTTTAAAAATGATTTTTTTAATTGTCAATATTGCATGTGAAGCGATTTTTAAACAGCACGTTGATAATTGCATGTCAGGATTCTCGGGTTCATATCGCTCAGAAAGGTTTACTACAAACCCTTAGTTTTTTTTTATTGTTTTGTAATACATTTTTGTTTCTAATGCAGTGATCCATACATAAATCAGGTGAAAGCTTTAGGGTCCGTAATCAGTAGTCCTATATATAAAATTGAAGAGAAATGCATTCACTTTGTGACATGAAGGAAAATTGATCGTCCAAAGCGTTTAGGCCAGGCTTTTAATCACAGCTCAATATAATAGATACACAGCCTGTGGGTCCTTCACTGCAAAAACTGCGATGTTTAATCTAACACTTTTTGGTATCTGTGCGAAACCTCTGGTTCGATGTAGACACCAAAAGAATTGTTTGTAATTTTGGCACTTTTGTCATGTCAGTGTGCTGTCTTTAGACCCTGAAGTTTGTTGGCCTTCTTCCATGACCACTTCTTTAGCTGACTCGTGTGTAGGTTTACCGTCCACTTTGATGCAGGTGGTGGTCATCCAGCGGCCCGCTTTGCAGCCGAGATAGTGAAGAACCTCGGTTACCGTGATGAAGCTGGCGCCGAGGAAGAGGCCGAGCTGCCCACCGATGTCGCCTGCAGCGTTGGTAAGAATTGCAAAGTGGAATTCTAATTTATTTGGTGGTCTTTAATGCCTTAATTGCTTTAAAATACTTTTGTCGGTCTGAAAGAGAGGAGTGCGGTCAACTCGTGAACGCCGTTTAATATAAGTTGTCAGAAGCGCACAGTATGTGGGGAAATAAGAAACTAAAGACAAGTTGTTCACGATCATGGTTGACCTTTGTTGACAAAAACAGCCAATTCCACTTAATTTCTAGTTTCTCAGATCACTTGAGAAATTTCCACGCAGAAACGGAATTCCTGTCATTTTGGTCAAATCCTCGTGGTCGATACTTGGCATACAAATGCTCTCAGTTTGTCAGAATCTTTTCGTTTCGGGACCAACCACGACGTGTTGCTGGTAAACTGCGCACACTCTTTCCGCGGCAGAGAGCACAGAACCCCGTCTTTTTTTCTCACTATTTCGGTCGATTCCAATGAAAACACCACTCTGAATCTAATCCAAGTACCGGACGGTTAATCTTTACCCTAACCTCTGATTGACCGACTTTTTTTTCAGAAATTCCATGCGCTATTCTTCAACATTCAGGTCACGTTCTGTAACTTTAAGGAGAACACATCCATGCATAGAAATAAAACCGACATCACTGACTTCATTTGATATTTTGGCGCAAAACGATAATTATAATTGTATCAATCGACCAGTACTTTGTAATGAAGGTGAATCAAACTTACTGATTAAAGCTGACGGTGTGATTGCTTCTGACTGCACGTATTTCTCGTAGTTAAGAGTCTCGTAATATACGTCTAAAAGGATCCAATTATCCCTGGGTATAATGGGCAAAATGGTGTTGTCAGATCTCTGGGGAGACCACTATCTACGGGATTCAAATAGGATCACTACATCATTTCACCAATTGAAACTGATCTTTTGCTAATCAAGTCCATGGATAAAATGCAAGGAGACTTTGCCTGGACAGTCTTAAGCGTGGGTTTCAGGCCGGCTCAGGAGAATGAACGTGACTAATGCCCGAGCCGCACGTATCTTTTCCTAGGTCTTGGTGTCTCAAGTCCACAATCACCTAATGTAGGTCTCTGGCAGGGTGTCATTGATGCCCTCCTGTCTCAACTCCTCCCATATTTCGTCCCTCAGATTGTTGCTGGGCAAGGTTGCCATGGACAGCGAGGTCCGGAATTCGCTGTAGTTGCAGGGCAAGGGACAGCCGCAGCCCGCCCTCTCTCCACTCCTGAGTTTCACTATGAGAGAGAGTATACAAAAACCCGCAGGCTGTTTATAGAGGGTTTTCATGGCTGCTATCTTTCAGGCCAGTGCTTTTGTTCCACAGGGTCTGCATAAAGGGATTTCCCTGTGGGAACAAAAGAGCTGCCCTGTATGATGGCTGCCATGCAAAGCCTGAATTGTACCCTTCCTTTCCCTGATATAAAGAGTGCGCGTAAGTTCTAGGTTCATCGATACATGAATTCATTAATCATGTCGGCCTGTCTTGAGATTTGTTACGGTACGCATCTTACGTGAGCTTGAACGGAGTTCATTTTACTACTAATACCTATGACTGGAATGGCGCAGTCCTTGACTTGAGTAGGGGTGCATTCCACAGCATTGCCGGGATGACTGCAACATTGAAATAAGTTAACAAAAGGTTTTCATTATCGATACTATGCTAGCAGTCCATGTACTGTTTCCTTATCGATTTTTGTATCCGTTTTGCCAGTGTCAGAATTATGATGTGATGTGTTGTCTTAGAGGGTAAGTGTTGTCCATTTCAACTTTCTGCACTTGCTTGTGTATATCATAATGTTATGAAAATACAGTTGATTCACAATAGTGCGCCTCCAAGAGTTTGCAACGTGTTGACCAATCACAGTGCGCGGAACCTGTCGACCCTCTCCAAACGCGCATTGGGTCAACAGATTTCGTGCGCTGTGATTGGTCAACGCGTTGCAAACGCTTGCAGGTGCACATTCCTCTTGATATAAGTCGCGGCAGGGGAATTTTCAGGTCTCAAACTGTTGTGTGCAATCTGGAATTACATGCACTTGCACGTGCCTGGGGAGTTTTATTTTGAACTAACGACTGAGGTAGCTACTACCTGAACAGTCTGCACTTGCATTCCTCGTCGATCTTCCGAGCTCGACACTCGATGACGCAGCCAGAGAGCGTGTATTTGTCATAGTAAGTCAGACGCCTCGATTTGTCGCATTTACCCCACGGAGGTTCAAGGTTGCTATACTGCAAAACAGACTTATTGATTTATTTTGCCCTAACACCGTGTATGGGTACATAGGAGAGAGACCTCAGTAACTTGACTTAGACAACCCAGAGTTAGCTGTCTACACTATGCCGTCAAGTATAGGCCTAACTGATTTCATACTATGTTTCGTCTGGAATTTAAACACCTGGGATTCAGTTTAGTTAGGATTTTTTTTTCAAATTTCGAAGATTTTTTATTAGATTAATCGAAGACAGATTGTTGTGAGGCCCGAAAGGGAATCACAGGTTGGTATGGGCACGCTGCGTGCAGATAAGTTTTGTGAGTGTATGGTACAAACACATGCCATCTTTTTTTCGTCCGAATGCGCACAGTGTCTCTTTTCTGCCATACAAAAGACGGCAGCAAGTTGGCAATTCTGAACCTATAAACACCAGTTTAAAATATGTCACTCAGACGTACCTCAATTTTCCGTACGCCAACGAACGCGTGGACTCCAGGAGCGATTGCCGATCCTTCCGAATCGATAGGGGGCGGTGTTTTTTGATCGTGAACCAGAATCTTCAACCCGGCTTCCACATAGCCACTTTGTAAATGCTGAGTGTATTCCCGCTGAAATAATTTAAAAGGCAGCAACTGAGAGATGGAGTTGAATAAACTTCCATCCGTTGAACACTTAGTCAGTGTTGTTTATTTGAACTTGCATCTATTGGTATGGGCGTTCTTTGATACATTTTAAAATTAGTTGTCAAGACTTTTTATTTCAACATGCTATTCTGGAACTTTCGTTTATCGATTTACCCAAAGCAACTCATGCATAATTATCCAAAAGTACAGGGCGGTCGGCATTTGGAATCGTACGCGGAAACCTCATTACCGAGACTGTCGGCACTGAATCGGATCGACAGCAATGAGACAATGCAAAACATTGTATTTTTAACGTTGCAAGAAAGTACCGATTTCGTGGATGGGTGTGACCATCTGGGTACTTGTGGTTATCTTCAAGCTAGTGTGTTTCAGGTGCACCCCAAAAGTTTAATTTCCATACTGTGGTACTGTCTTCCTGTTCCTGTGGTGTGGACTTTTTTTCCCACCATGAGCCTCTTGGTAATACAGGGTAAAACAGCCATTTATTTAATTTGCTTTCTATCTAACGAAACTACATCTGCATGGTCGCTGCCCATTCAGGCTTCAGTCGTTTAACAGTCCTGTCCTATTTTCGAGAGTTGCAGCTCAGGTGATTGACATCGTGGGACTGAGCAAAAGTCCGTCTTAAAATGTAATCAGTGTCTGCAACCAACCTGCAGAATGTCAATGGTCATCACTAGGCCGTTGTTGCTTCCGGGTTGGGTCTGCTTTAAGATCGGTACGTCCTTCTCCCCGTCCTCACCAGAGTTGAAAGTCCAGCAGTTACCGAAAGGAGTGAACACATGAGTGAAATTCTTGGGAAAAGGTTAATAACAAATAATGTGAAGCAATGATTATATGTTGGTGTTGCCGTTGGTGGCGCTGTCGTAGTGTACACGAATAACGTGTGACGTGACCTCAGACAGGCACAGCTCATAATGACTCGATTACACTCTTGTTCTCGAAGCCGGGTAAGCATGGTGGCTGAGTGTGAGCAACAGGCAACTGCCCTTCGCAAAATCTTGTGAAGGAAGAATAGGCGCAAAGCCTCATGGGTAATGTCTGCTGCTTCAACAATACTAACAGATTTAGGAAATACATTGTACAAGGATTCTAAGAACTTATGTCATACGGCCCCATTAAGACAATATTAGATAATCCTATCACCCGTGCGAGGGCAGGGTGGTTGATCGAAGAGACTGGACATCAACGGATAGGAAATCCAGATCAAAGAGTTCAACGGACTAACATCATAGAATGATGATGTCCACTTTGGTCACACACACTCTGACGTTTTTCAAAATTCTTGTGGGGAATTTATGTTGCTCTGTTTTGTTACTAAAAATAAATTCGCGAAGAACATTTTGCTTACTGCTTCCGACTGGTTCTGAATCATTAGCCGTAGCTGAAATTTCGACTGAGCGTCTCTTATGTAGAAACACTTAATTTGTGATGAGTGCGCGATGGAAATTACTTATTTTTGAGTAAATTCCAATCAGTTTCGTGAAATTCTTGTGGGGTACTGTTTCAGAACCCCACAAGGGCAACGAATGTTCTGAGGTACTTCTGGTACCCCACAAGGCACCATAAACACACGCACCTTTGCCGTACAGCTGTTCCTATTACTCTGCCACAGGCAGCCGAGGAGGGTGTCCTCGTCCATTTGGAAGCCCGTACGCAGAGTGAAGTTGGTGAATCTGAAGTCAGAGATGTCATCAGGCGGGGGCGTCCCGCCGACTGATGAGTCGTAGTCGTAAAAGTCATAGTCATAATCGATATATCTTTGGTAGGCCCTCAGCTTGGCCACATCAGCTTCCGTTAGCGCTGACTTGCGGTATCTGTGGACGGTAATGTCAAAATGAATGGAAACGTTTTAGAAAAGGTACTAATTTGTAATTTAATTATATTCAAATGCGCCCTAAGCCACATTCAAGAAAATGGAAGGAAAGCATGTAACCAAAAATATTCCAGCGTTACACTGTTCAACGGGTTACTGGGGATGAAGAGACTCTGAAAACACATGCACAAATGAATTCCCTGTGAATATAGAGATTGGGAAGAATAAAACAGCTCAAATGACTGTCACAAGAAGCGTTTGCTACTAACTTGATAATCTGTTAATCCTGGGTATAACTCGCTTACGAAATGATATGTGTGCTTTGTTTTGAGTAAAGTTTTAATTGAAAAAGTTTTAAAACTATATCTATTTTTAGTCTTACAAAAATGGGAAATGCGCCCCTCCATAGCTGCATACATGTACATGCCATTGCATATTTATCAGAATGAAGATCACATGTTATATTGTATTGCAGTCTTTCCCCAGCTGGTTAAAATCCGATCGGTAGAGACTTATTGCTCATGTGGCCTAGTGGTGAGGGTGTGAAGCTTCTGATCATAGGGTCGGGGGTTCGAATCCAGCTGGTGGCAGCATGTTGTGATCTTGGGCAAGTCATTTTATCCCTATGTGCCTCTCTCCACCTAGGAGTAAATGGGTACCTGTGAGGGCTGACACGGTTATGTTCAGCCGTTTGCGCCGGTCTGGCAGCATTGGGCTGGTATACTCCCCAGGGAGCTGAGATGGTTTCAGGAATGTTCAGATGATGTGTGAACCCAGCTGTGCGCAGGGATAATGATAATACTGCGCATGAAGACTTTACAGTATTATGCGCTTGATAAGAACTGTTCATCGTTACAAAATAAAAACGCTGCTACCCCCTCAAAAGAAGCCGACCACGCCCACGAAACCTCTTTTTTCTTGTTAATCAGTTCGTCGGATCTTACGAGACGTTCCTTAAGTATGACAACAAAAGGACAATGTCGAATGGGCTCTTAAGGCTACTGCACGGGTGTAAAGATGGATACTTACACCATCAAAATCATTATTTAAACAGCAAAGTGCAGATGCACAAACATTTTGAAAATTATTAATTGCAATAGCTATTTTTGCAGAGGTACACATACAAATTCAGCGGGGCGGTTACGCTGAACTCCCTATTTAAGGAACATTCGGTGCAGCGTGGCAACTGACCTACCTGTTGAAGTTACAAATTGTCACCGCTGGGAAGTCCAGATCTCCAACGTATTCCACCGACACCGCCGTGGTCGCCTCGTGCAGGAGGTAACGCTGGAACCGGTCGGTGATCTGCCAGACGCAGACGCCCAGACAGCCCAGCAGTATGGACAGCCACAGGAGCCTAACGGGCAGCCGGGTGCTGTCGAAGAACCGGGCCACGCCGTGGAGGCTGGTGTTGGCGGCGAACTCGCGATCGAGATCGGTCGTTTTACCGCTTGCACTGCCCGTCATTTTCGCCACAAATGCGCTCCTTGAATGTGTTGATTATTTACAGAGTCGATTCCACTGGTTGCTGTACGAGGAGCGTCAGTAAGCACGACACAGCAGCAAGAGACATGAAGGGTCGCAAATAGACATGCACATGTCTATCTGTTGGCTTGATTTATGCATGTATCACGGGGTAACGTTATACGCTATTTTTTCCCTGTGCAGATGTTTGTGACGAGCAGGGTCACTGAGCGTAGCCAAACACTGAGAGACATGACAGGTCACGAGCACGACTTCCAGAGCACGGTCTGTCGGCTTGATTTTACCCATGTGTCACTTGGACTCGAATCAAGTCGGACTTACTTTGCTCTTCCCCAGTCTGCCAGCTTTCAGCCTGTACGCACTACACGGTCGTCGAGCTCTTCCCAGCAGCTCGCTTAACCCTTATAAGGCGCCTTCATTTGACAGTCCTTATTGTACAACGTGTGTCATACGTCATCAGTCAGAAAGTCCAGCTTGACGGATAAGCCAATCGGACCTCCGTCGGTAATATGTAGTTATTCATAATTGCATATGAACGACATGATCTTGCATAATGTATACGGAATTTCCACCAATCAAAGTAGTCAGACTTGTAGACTCGTTCATTATAATGTAGGTACGACGTAAAAACAAGTTCGGCAATGTGATTGGCTGCTACCACTTTTGGTAGATAAGCCCATTCGCTGTGAACAAACTGTAGGCAGACAGTCAAGTCGGGATTTCTGAACTAAACTTATAGTAATAAGTGGACAAAAGAGGGCGCAAAGCAAATAAGGGTGCGCCGTCTCGATATGTGTAACTGAAGACGTCACAGAGATCCCGACTTGAGTCAAGTCTATGTGTCACTTGACAACGCCATACGCAAAATACATTATTTCTGGCCATTCCGCCGATAATTGGTTTCCTACAAGGAAAGGTTCTGAAAATTTTGGACAAAATCGATTTTGATGAACTTCAAAGAAAGGCATTTGTGTGGTTAAACGATATTCGCCCTTACCCATTGATGCATTTTTTTTCCTTTTTAAGTACTAACCAAACGTTAACGTTTGGTGCCTGTATAGTCTAACAATAAAAGAATGAGGTTCCAACTCGTTCTTATCGTGACTGCTAGCCGCATGTGCGGTTCTTTTTTGGCCCGACTTGAATAGGTCTGTACACTTTAAGTTCATCAAAAACGGTTGTAACATGCATGGAACATCTAGTGTCATAGAAGTCGAGCAAAGTCTCATTATAAAAAGTTAAAGAGCAATATATATCTGCATGTATACAGTTGGTGGCAAGTTTTATTTTGTCAGATCTAGACCCCCTGGGCGAAGTTAAAGTACTGTAGTAATGTTCCAAATAAGTTTGTCTATAGCTTATGTTTGTTGTATTTCTAAAGCTGCGAAGGTCGCAAGGGAAAACGAATACGAACGCCAAATTGGGACATGAGGTCCATCTTCGTGCGGTGAATTCGCAAAGGTTAAACCTATTTCAACCCGGGTGAATTTTGATAGAAATGTTAATGTCACCGTCGCTCTATAACCCGCCTGAAGTATGAATTAATTAATTAAGGATACAATGCCTGAACATTTCCTCGGCAAACTGTGTACCAAAATGCATCATCACCACACTTCGACGTGGAAAAACAGTTTGAAATGGGAACTAAAAATCTGAACATATTGCATCTGTGATAGCACCATTAACTTATAAAGCAAGAAGAAAACCAAAGCACCAAAGGAAAGCTGTCCTTCTCAGAACAATTAAGCCTTGTACAAGAAGACTGAGTAATGTAAGATCCGAACAAAAAAGACTTGGAGATACAAATGAACATTACAGGTTTGAACTGTGGCGCATAAATTTATTTGCTTTTTATATATTAACTTTAAATCAACCGAGGATGTTTTTGCAAATGTACTTCTTACATCAAACCGGTAAGGGCCCACAATAGACTTACAGAGGGCCTACACGCCTGACGTATACATTTAATAATGATGAATGTCATTTAAAGTGGCGTATCAGGGCTTAAGTACTTAAAAGCAGATAGATGTAACGGTCAGGTCACTGCCTCTCTCGTCCTGCTTGCGGCAAAAAGTGTGTAGCTTTATGTTCGAGAGATCTCTTCTGAATTGGCAAACACTTGGAAGAGTACTTTGTTTGTTTTCACTTTTTGAGAAAATCAGCATTAACAAGAAACGGAGCCTATTGCTTTTGTAAAAACAACAACCGGTTGTTCATATTATTACACCATATTTCAGTCGTTGCCCGGGGCCAAATTTCGAAAGACAAATTCATTAAAAATTAATTGTTACATTACTTTAATCTTTTCCCACCAAATTTCGAAAGGCTAATACATTAAAAAACTATTGTTAAATTGCAAAAGCATTTAAAACTTTCATAATACTAAAAATATCACATAGGTTAAAAAGGCAAAAAATTCTAAAATTAGTACGGTTACAAAGACCACTCAACCTAGTAAACAGGAATTATTTGGTAACTGGCAACAACTTAAACAAAATTAAATGATAACATTACACACATCTGACCTTTAAAGTGTTGATAAAGTAAGGGATCGGACTTCGAGGGAAACGCCCAGTTCTCACAGTGGTTCGGGTAATTGGGTCGTTCTGTTCCGTAGGTTCCTACCATGACTTGTTAGCCTGGTATAAGGGGCAAGCGTGTGGTTCGTGAGCGTCAAAGGCATTAAATCATTTTATGCAGTGCATCACTCTAGGAACTGTACTGGCTCGCCATGAAGGTCACGCAGGCTGGTTTCTGTCTCCTTTGGAGATTTTTGGTTTTCTCCTTTGATACAGTAGAATGCCATACAGGCATACAGGAATGCCATACAGAGGGGGATTTGGGGAATCAACGAACCTTTCTCTGACGCCAATTAATAATAATAAAATAAAGAAATAGTTGAAGTAACAATTATAGTAGAAATGAAAGTAGACATCTGTAAGGGTTGTTATTTGTACATCAGTAGCAATGCAGTGATTTGGAGAAATTCCTGGATCCGCTTTTGGCCATATCACATCCACGAGCTCAACCACTGGTTTAATGTAACGGCTGTAAAACAACGAGGTTTGTCGCAATCAAAACCAAATCGTTTTTAGCGGTCACAAAATGAAAAGGCATTTGCTTGCCTGGTTTATCGTGATCAACTTCAGCCTTCCCTTTCTGATTCGTTTGACAACAAACTTTCAAGTTTTTAACTCTTGTTTCACCATTTCAAAGGGTATTTTACTGCCTGTTTTGTTTCTAAAGTAATGAGTATTTCCATATTCAATTGTAAAACAGTGATGTCAAACCAGGAAGAAAGCCTCAATGCTACGTTGGTTTGTACACAAACAATCCTGTATGTTGCAGATTTGGTTTATTTTTTTTGGCTGATTCGTTGCTGCTCAAGCGTGTATCAATAAGCAAGTATCTATCCCTTTTTTTTTTTTAGAAAAGTTTTCATTGAGGAAATGCTTGTTGGACCCTTTGAAGAGAAAAACCATCCAATGACATCACAGTGCCCTCTGTTGTCCGGGAAGCATGGATAGTTGTAAGTGTTGACAACAGTACATTTTACATTGCATTTAATCTAATTGGAATGTTAAAGAGTTTTCATATGCATACGTCGAAGAAGAGTACATAGTTTCGGGAAAATGCGTCGAGGGAATAATTCATTGCTGTTGCACTTTTAAAAGATCTGCCAGGAAAATATTGCACTAAGTACCTGGAGAGCACCGATCCGGTTCAGATGTACCTCGCATACTGCCCATGTAGACAGATGTGAAATAACAAGAACAGGTCTAAAAACAACACACCGAACAGCTTCAGCTACAGTGTTAAGATACACGGTTTAGACAATAGAGCAAGCGAAACGGTATGCACCATAAAACACGAATTTATTTTCTATTAAAAAAGGCAGAATTAGTTTTAATGATAACAATGAACAATTTGCAACTCTCTTAAAATTTGAAATTATTCCTGGCTTCAGTCTGCACCTACTGAGCAACACAGTTACATTTGATATTTCAGAGAAATGTTTCATTATGATATTAGTAGCATAAAAGCTGAGCATGACATTTAAAAAATTTCAGAAGCAGAGGACGGTACCAAAATAGTTACATATCACCCGATCAAACGTAACGAGGCTTAAGGCATATTTTTAGTCATATTGCTGTAGTTTGCACGACAAGGAAAAGACTGATACCTTTGTTCTGGCGTATCATTGCATTTTGCCTCATGATTATCATATAAATACTCATAGGCCTATAACCAACATTACGTTGGTTATACGTGTTGTTACATTTCATATTGATTTTCGTTGACCAAAACTCTAGTTGGCGGCTTTTGTAAGAGAAAAATGGCTCCAGGGACTTGCCACCCAACTTGTGAAGCTGGGCCACAAATTTCCTTCAGTTGAATGAATGCGTGTTTCATATAGTTTCCGGACGCATGAAAATAATCAACCCTACTTGAGGTGTTTCCTTGCATGTTGTATAGCTACCTAATATCTCACAAATTGCACTGGATGCTTGTGTATACACTTACCATGCCAGTTGTAGCGGGAAATTTCTTTCGCTTGTGAAAATTTTCTTTGAATGGCGTTAACTATGAATGGCTGTTCGGGCGGATCGGATATCATTCGATCCTTTTAATTAAGGAGGGTAATTTTTCACTGTCTTTCGACGTGTCACAGTCTGATGGTTTTGTTTTTATTTCGGTGGGTCTACTTCAGTGCTTTGGTGAACATAAATAGTGGACAAGTATGATCAATTATTCTTTAGTTTCCGGAACTAAAGGATCCCTTGTGAAGTAAAAATGAAAATTAAACACTTGTGTACTGCAGAGACAGAACATACTCGATGTGTACGGGCATTTAAACATAGAACAACCTTATTTTCCATCTTGGGGGAATTCACATGGCCTTTAGGAAAAAAAACAAATTACAGGCAGGACGTATAAAAATTGTATACAAGCTAAAAGTACACTAAAATGTAAAGACAGGTTAAGATAATAAAACAAGGACTTCATAAACATAAAAAGCTGATTTAATTACAGTAAATAAAAAAAAATCCAACGCTTACTGTGAAACTCAGTATTCAATCACAATTCATAAATATACAATGTACACGCACAGAAATGATAATTATTAATGGAATCATAGTTCAGCGGAAGGGACTTATTCCACAGCAGTTCCTCGTTCCAGCGGTGCGGGAACAAATGAGTCACCGTAGCGCTGTGTTCTGATCCTTCCTTGAAGAAAGCGAATACTTCTCGAACTGTTCTGAAATTTGGCATGAAGCCGATGATGGAGTCTGACAGAACAATTTCTGTTTCATTGCACGTGGGATATCTGTACAGTGCCTCAGGAGACTGTTGCTATAGACCGATAGATCTGCCCGATGGTTAACATTTCTATTTAGCTTGCTTTAATCATGGGCCCTCATATTTCCATCATGGGAAACAAATTAGACAAAAAGTGAGAATACTCTGTACTACGGTGTAATAAAACATTTGGAGTGCCGTCCTGTCAACATCAAAATACTTGAGTTTATGTAGGAAGAACAAACACTGTTGTAATTTATTGTACTTAGCTTTCACACTGGCACCAAATTTCAGCTGGTCATCTAACTCGACTCCCAATTATTACATATGCACAGACAGTGCTTCCACACATTGGGCATCAAAAGGCCGTAACTCCTGAAAAATTGAAATGATAACTAATATATGTAATTGCATTCGGACAGCAGAAACGTACCCGTTATGAATTATCATGATCGAGTAATCTGCTGGCCCAAAAGTTAAGCACTATTATAGTTACTATCAGTTTGCAGACTTAAACATAAATATTTGTAAAGACATGATAACTTTACTCCTTTTCAGTAAAAACTGAGAGCAAATTGACCCCCCCAAAAAAGGTTTGGCAATATTTTCCTAACTATTACTACCAGCTGAATTACTGAACTGACCACCAGGAAAATCAGAACACCGACTTTATGTTAGCAACTACCGGTATTGTAAATGACACACGTTTGCAGAAATATGGTGAAAATTGCATTGGTTTGTAGGCTGCCCTAAAGTTAATCAGTTCATCTCGTACTCTGCTTATTAAAATGTACGTCGGCCGAGTGCATGGCCATCTTTGTATTATAAATAACACAATACGACTTCATTACCTATTCGATTCGCTGCTTTCTGCTCTTGGGAAATCTGATGAACTAGATCCCTTTCTCTTTGGGATCTGCACATTGTCTTGTCGTACAACCCCAAACGTAACATCTGGATACCATTTCTGTCGGTAGCACTCTGAGCTATTACCAAGTTCAATGGTAAGCTATGTACGTACAGTACATGTACATTGAACATCGGTACGTGTTCACAAATGGACAGGTTGGCTCGAAGAGCACTAATGATGTAATTTGTACTACTTAAGATGGAAGGGGGCCATACTAAGAAACGGCGATCTTGTGCGCACAGGATAATCAAGATTGTAAAGTCTTTTGACAGAGCACTGAAACTTCCGCTTAGATTAGAAGCTAATAGCAAAAACGATATAATGAGACTGTAGAAAAAACTTAACAAGGCCAGAAAACCTGAGAGAAACTTATCATCAAATTCGCATCCCTGTACCGTTTCAATGGCCCACACCCACTTCTTGCCGCCACGGCCATTCGTGCGCGTGCGTGCATAATTATGAATTTATTACTGAAAAGGTCTCTATTTCTAATACAGATATCAAAATCTACCTACCTAGAGATATCAAATTTAGATCAAATAGAGATGTTTATTTCAGAAAAAGAGATGTACAGTTTTTATTTATTTTTTAATTTTTTTGCAGCGTAACTGACTGTCTTAACAGAAATGTCAATGTCTGGCGTGGTGTTCTTAATTATAGCGAGTCAAAACTCCAAATAGATGATGATGCCAGAATTTGCGGACTGCCGCGTGGGACGCTGTGTACTCATACAGCAAGCCCCGCAACGAGGACCTGTGAAACCATGTTGTATGTGGAGTGTCGGTATCATGATTTAAACAGGAAGGGAAAGGACGAAAACGCAACACGCACCTCTCACTTTTTTTATCTTAAATTTTAATACCTGCGAAAACGCGGACCAGAAATGAAATAGAGAAATCTCTATATGTAGATCCCTGTCCATAGATATATATCTGAAGAGATATATCAAGGGAGAGATTAGGAAATAAATATTGTTTATCAGAAATAAATATATTTCTGTTATAGACAGTTTTATCAAGACGATCTGTTCTCATTGGAGAGAAATATCTCCATTCAGAATAAAGAAATATCGATATTTCAAATAGTGTTATTTCAGGGCAAAGTATTTAAGTCTGGAAATAGAGACATTTGTAAACAGATATTTTGTTTTGAGTTTGTTCCCATGCCCCAAAGTTAACACAGAGGGGTATGCAGTCAGTGAGGCGAGGACAAGTCTGAGATAGCCACGGTTTCATTCCCTGGTCGAACCTTTGATTGGTTAGCGTGCGGGCGGGAGCGGCTAGTTACCCAAAGGCCCGCCTTGCGACCCAGATAGTGTAGGATCTCGGTGATGGTAATGAAGCTGGCGCCCAGGAAGAGGCCCATCTGACCGCCGATGTCGCCTACGAAGCACGGCGAAAAGTCCAAAAAAAGAAGGCATTATTCCCACGTCTACTTTAACATTTCCTCTAGAGTGTTTCTTTCTGCAGGGGACCATGCTGGTATTTTTCCAAGCTTTTGAAAAGTGAAACTGTTATAAACACTATCTTACGTTTGTATACTTTCTATTTGATTTGTGCACTTCTATCTTTCGTTTGCTTTGAGATACTTTCAAGATTTCTCTATACCGTTTTCATGGTACAACACAGAACTAGTAAAAATCAACTTCAAGAGTCGATTAAGTAAGTTAAGTGCTCGAATGTATAAACACTTGAAATGATTCTGTCTCGTCATCATAGCTTGACTGCCATAACAGATAAGTTATCTACGAAAAAAACGTCCTTCCGTGAAACTCTAAATCGAAGAGAACGTTATCAGCAACGCTTGTGCTGTTGCCTGTGCGCGTGCCAGGTGCAAGGTAAATTTAGTATAAATAGAAAAGTTTAATTTGTCTCCTCGTGAAAACGAAAAGCAAGACGAAGCGGCGCGAAACCTGCTCTCATCGATGCACATTATCTCTATGGAACCCAAATTTACACCTTTCTCGAAAACAAAAATGCGGTGCTGATGAATTTTGCTCCAACAATTTTGCTTTTGCTCTCAACTGTCATCCAGATTCGGTTGATGGCAATGGACTTTGTCACCCTCAGTGGTCCGCATTGTATGACATGCATTATTCGGCCAATAACAGAAATTCGATAAAAAGAATCATTTTGACTGAGTGGTGGTTTTTAATGGGCTAGTTTATGTGATTGGTTACGGATAGGAAAGGGTTTGTGGTCAGGGTTTCTGACTAGGGCTGTGGTTTACTAAAACTTCCTTTACATTTTTGGTTCTGAACTTACTTATCAAAGCCGATAGGGTGATTGCCTCGGATTGCACGTATTTCTCGAAGTTGAGAGACTCGTAGTAAACATCCAGAAAGATCCAGTTATCCCTGTATACGTGGTGGGAGAAACAAAGTGGATTGAGTTTTTTTTCCATAGCTCCTTAGAGCACGGAGAATGGCACAGTGCTCGTGGAGAATATTAACAGTGTTTTGTATGTATGCTACTAGTTATCACACGAGCGCGAGTGGAACGCAGATTTACGGAGTGCGTCTGTGTCTCGTATAGAGTACAGAAGTGTGACGTCACTGTGATCTAGAAAGTGTAGTGCAAACGAATGGAGTACGTTCGCGTGTTGGTTCACGCGCTGATTCTCGCTCTAATGCCTTTTACACACACACTTGTACGCCTGGCGTAGACACTTCGGTACTCTATATCACGAGGCCGAACATTTTTCCTTGTTCCATGAGCGTGATAACGAATTTATCTTCAAGCAAACTTGAAGAGTAAATATGTTATCAGGGCCTATGCGCGCAAACTCACCACCTTTGAATTAGATTTTGCAGTTGTGCGTTTTGCTTTTAACGTAATGCGGTTAATTAGAACAGCGCAATACGTGGGGTTGATATGAACCGTGCAATACTGAACAATTGTTGACCGCTGTGGTTTGGGATATGACGTCTTGAACACCCGTGGGCACGCATAGCGTCCTCGGCGATACCTCTGTCTTCAGGAATTTATCAAAAGAAACAAGCTCTGTATTTCAGAAGACGATGGGCCTACTGTAAAACTATACAATTAACGTAACAGACGTAAACGATATCATTTGCAAATGCACTGTCCCCTCACTTTCGTTAGTTGCGTAAACTCTCATGTGAAACTAGTGCGGGTACCAGTGAGTGCATTTATATAGTCTGGTTAGTGGTATCTGCATTACCTTATACGCTGCGGGGACGGGAACGAGTCTGTTATACGATCGCAATCATTGATCGAATTCCTTGGTAGCCTATGCACAAAACGTATCGTGGGTGCCACGTAAAACTGACGGAAGGATAGCAAATGTTCGTCTCGAACTTCCCGAAGCTCTTTTGTTTGTGTGTGTACGTGTGTGCGGCACGCACCATCGGTAGTCTAGAGTGAAATGTCTCACGGTGAGTGTGATATGCGGATATGTCGCCCTGTCATGTGATCGTTCTGGGCCAATAAACGGACAGTATCCAACACAGAAGTATGACAAAGTTATATATCACACTGCTTGTTGCCATGGAACGACCAATCAGAATTCAGATTTCAAATTTGCCTGAAGATAAACAGTATTATCAGGTCTTTCAGTAATTACTATTAAAACGGGCTTAGGAGACTGGACGAGACGAGCTGCATATATTTATTCCCACTCATAAATACCTTTTTAGTCAAAAGAAGTCAATACGATGGATTTCCAAGGATTTTGCTTTAGAGTTTTTCTTACAATTTCCCCAACACCTTCGTCCATTTTGTGGTATATTCCTCGTACAAGTTGTCTAAAAGAACTTCCTTATATGGGCTTTGCGCGCGCGTGGCCAGCTGCACACACCCAGACTCTTGACCAATCAAAATCGATCAAATTGTCTCGTATCCAGGTGCCAGCGGGTGATTTACGCAGCGGGCATTTTCACTTCTGCAACGGGCATTATCAAATATTAATACACGGTCAAGTTGAACGTTGTTGAATAGGGAGACTTTCTGAGGTATTTGTGAATGGTATATAAAGTGATTTCAGCGTGCTTTATGTTATTGATGTATGTAAATCAGTGGATTTGTTGAGAACCCTTTCGACACCATGCTGTTCGGCATGAACAGATACAAATGTCTGTATATAAATCCAATTAGACCCCATAACTGCGATGGCACCGTACACTCCCAAATTCTTCAGCATGACGCGCGCGTGCATTTTGCAAATCACCACGCCCTATTGGTTGAGACGGCATGTGCGCATAACACCTGTCCACGAGCGTTGTGCCACCACAGTAATGACATCGAATTCTGATTGTCAAATCACACTATACGATTGTTTAGCAAATACTGTCAGATACCTGTCTCTCCTTTATTCAACCCTCACGTTTGTCGGGAAAGCAAGTTGGTACAGCATTTTAATGTTGAGGTTGGTGTCTCCATATTTATCGATTAACCATCACGTTCCATTCAGTTAAACATATTAGTCAATCTGTTAATTGGGTTTGTGAATCCTAAAACACCAACAAGAATATTCCAGTCATCATTTGGTTAAGAGTGATAAGGGTTACGAAAGAAGGTTTAATTTTGGTTGGTACAAATATGCATAAGGCATTTCCATCCTGATGTCTCCAGACTCACCGGATATATCTTAGTGTCTCATCGAAGGTGTAATTAACGCTGTCATCTCCTCCGTATAGCTTCCACAAATCGACCAGCAGGTTGTTGCTGGGCAAGGTCGCCATGGACAGTGAGGTCCGGAATTCGCTGTAGTTGCAGGGCACGGGACAGCCGCAGCCCTCTACCTCGCCAGTCTTGAGTTTTGCTTGAAAAGAAAGAAAAACCATAAATTGGGAACTTCGGGTTTATGTTTCTTAACCTTTCTTCGTTGATAATGTGCCCGAAGTGTCTAGATATACAGAGACCAAATTTGTATCTTCAGTATAGACATGGGTGCTCGTAAGAGCCTTTTTGGAAAAGAGATCCCCTCTTATATGATTGTCAAGGGTTTCCTCCCCACTCGCTAACGTTTCGACATGAAACATGTATGTCAAGTCACAAGGGACCAGACTTTACTGACCTGAGTGACCTAACTATGTGCTCTGATCTTTAACCCTAACAGTCCTCAGTCCTCCAACAGGTGAAGGATTGAGGACTGTTAGGGTTAATGAACTTATGACAGTATATATATCTGTCCTTTAATACAACTCTTACTCTTTTTCCTGGTTGATATTACCTCGAGTACTACTAGCTTTAAATTCAACCGTTCGATTCAATCAACTACGTTAAAAGGCTAAATACCCATAAATGATTAGGTGACACGAGGTTATTAGGGTGGGAGGTGCCAAGTTGGCTGGAAACGAGACTAGCATTATGCCAGTACCTAGGACTGGTGTGGCGCACTTCTTGACTTGTAATGGAGAGCATTCTGTTTCATCGCCGGGATGCCTGAAAATTTGACAATGAAAATAGTTATAAATACTCATAACTCAAAAATACTCAAATAGGATCCGCCTTGTCATTATAGATAATAGAATTCTGATGACACTGTGATCGTTAATATTTTTACCTTGCTACGAATGTGGAACACGTAGTATTATTCAAAGACCTGTACACGATATTGCCAAATTTTTTTTTCGGTAAAGTGTATAGACCACCCTCATTTTGCCTACAAATTATATGGGCGGCCAAAGTTTGCAAAGATATTGCCTTGTGGTTTGGTTTTCGATTTTATCTTCAATTCTTTCAAAATGGACATTGTCTCATTGATGTTTAAATAAGGTTGTATTTTCTCTTAGAATTCAGCGGTACATGTATTTATATCTGGTGGTGTGATATCTACACGGGATTTCAAACCCTTTATGAATTATTCTTTTATTTTGTACCGACGGCCAACCATAGTTTTAGCAACCACTTGTAGGAAAAACACAACTTTGAAGTCAATGAGCAGACCCTATAAATCTTAGTCGACTATGCATTCGTGGTAACACACCTTGAAGGCCAGCTTATACTTGATGTGAAAGCCAAGGCCTGACGTTTGATCAAATTTGCCGGCTGCAAATTTGCAAAGGCACACTGAACACATTCCAACTCCAGCGAGTTTTTCTGTAAATGTTTTAGTGACGTCAATTTGCTTCGCTTTCACGTTCGCCTGAAGTATGAACCGGCCCAAAAGCGAACCCAAACGCTTGGCCTGGCTTCGTTTGCCTTGACTTTGTTTTGTTTCGTTTGTTTCGTTGGACTGAACCATTGACTTCCGACATTACCTGACAAGTTTGCACTGGCATCGCTCGTAGATCCTCTCGGCTCGACACTCAATGTCACAACCAGGAAGTGTGTATTTGTCATAGTGTAACAGACGCCTCGATTTATCACATTCCCCCCACGGATATTCGAGGTTTTCATACTGCCAAAAGAGTTCACACAGTAAAATGTCACACATTTGCTCTAGGAAGTATTTCTCTTGGGAGGGACAAAAGGATAAATGGGAAGATCGGGCTTCGGTTGCAAAGCTGGCTCATACCATCATATAGAGGCTTTGCATGGCAGCCATCTTGCAGGGCGGCTCTTTTGTTCCACAGGGAAACCTCCTTTGCGCACACCCTGTGAAACAAAAGTACTGCCCTGCCAAATGGCAGCCGTGCAAACCCTCTATACAAGCCCTCACAACCACTGGTTTTGGTTTTCGTGCGATATTGCATCCTGTTGAATGAAGTGATGTTGGAGCTGTTTTCCGCAGTTCGAGAAAACGGTGAATTTCTTCCACCGATAAGTTTCGATTTCAAAGTGAGTGAAGTGTGTATACCAAATTTGACGAGAGGTTACCGAACGTCGGCGCCACCAAAAACAGCAATACGATTAATATAATCCTGCTATGTGGCCGTTTTAACTTTTAAAATCTGAATTTCAATCATAACAGAAGAGCCACGACAGACTCATTTCATTATGGACATGTTGGGTAGTGGCAAACTATTAAGGTCAGCTGTCGTAATCATTGTGCGAACACAATTTGTGGGCGGCTTGCGCAGATGCACCACCACGTCTCTATGAGGGCCAACCTTTTTCATGAAGAGGGATGGGCATATTTTCAGTGCTGCTGGTAGGTACCAAAATGACTCACAGAGACGCACCTCTATTTTACGTAAACCAACGAACGCGTGGACTCCAGGGGCGATGGCAAATCCTTCTGAGTCGACAGAGGGCGGCGTCTCTTGATCGTGGACCAAAACCTTCAATCCGGCCTCTAAATTGCCGTTTTGTACTGGTTCGGTGTATTCTGCCTATAATTAAAAGAACGAAGATCCCCGCATAGTTTCGTAAAATGGTCTCCCCTTCTCCATCAAACTATTAGTGAAGGTGTTTGTGATGTAAAATGCACCAAATTCAGGTGTGTATAGTGATAAACCGTAAATGTGATTTCCTGACTTAATGAATTCAAAATGCCAGTTGACAGTTTTGCTGCATTTATACTAATTTACAACATTGTAAGAAAGATTTGCAAACAGTGTGAATGCCCTCGACGTTGATGACCGTTTTTTTCTGTCGACGTGATGGCTTGACAGTCACAGCGCACTCTTCGAAACCTTATTCGTAATGATGAGCTTATGTTTTAGGAGTCAATTGAAGTAGGCCTTGTTTTTGTGTGGTCTGGTATTTCAGGTTGGCTCATAATTGCCTGCGCAGGCCAGGTTATAATTTGCATGACCTGGCCTTAACGTCTCTGTTACCAGGACACTTTTTAGTCTGTTGAAGGTGGACAGGAGTGTTTGCTAAAAATAAGAAGGGTGGAAATGACAGACACAGCTTGAATTTCTGAGACATTTGGACAAAATGGAGCATTCGTAAGGGCTCTATTTTTGCGATGAAATGTGGGCTTTCGCTTTCAAAATGATGATGGTCTTTTCGACTATCTGACTTATCGATGGAAACATCGACAAAATTAAACGGATGGAACAAAAGGCTTTAATTCGATGTGTGTGCTGAACACCTGAGAAACGTTCGAGTATTTGTCTGATTTTTAGAGATGAGGATGTTTATTATTGCTGGCTGTGGCAGCTTATTCAGTGGTCTTCGGTTGATCATTGGTTACATCCGCTCTGCCAGTAATGCGATCGCAGCTCTATGCCACACCACCAGGTCTTAACTCGCTGCATGGTTTATACCAAGACGCTGCAGCAATGTCATGAGGTTGGTCAATGTTTTATCATAAAATATGTTTGCTGTCATGCTTTTTCGTCTAAGATGAGTGGCGCGGTTACGATGGAGTAATTATACCTCAGAGTGATTTGACAGCGTCTCAGTGATGTTTTCGCGTCTAAAAGTATAGAATATGTAAAATATGATTTTGTGGGTACGTTCAATTATGGCGATGATTTGTATGCGCACAAAAAGACTGATTGCGCCCACTAAAGCAAGTAACCTATGGTGGGTATTAACCCCATAGCAACGTGTGTTTTGAGTGTTGTTCACAAACAATATAACCGAGTTACGATACCGGTATGTAATACCAAGCACATCAGTACGGTACCTACCTTCGATTTTATTTTTTTCTAATACATGCAAGATACTTATGAAACACTTTACTTTTGGTGGACGCTGTGTTTGCTGATATTTGATAACCACTATAAGTCACGTGACTTAGAGGGCGCAGTTGGTCTATTGAGAACTCGCCAGTAGTAACATAGGCACTCCGTGTGTGTGTGGGTTTGTTTCTGCATTCAATTGGGGACCATGAACAATAGAGGACAATAAGGTCCCCGATTGACAGAGGGTCCCCGATTGACAACTGTGTACAAAACNCACAGTGTGTGTATAGCGCAGTGATGTACCCGTACCGGCGTCGCCGTCCTGTTGCTCTAATAGGTTAACAGACACACACACAAGGACGTGCAATCTGCTATATAACTTGCAATTGAAGAGGATCCGTTGGGTGAAAAAGTTCTTTCCTCGCCTTTCACCCCAGCAGCCCAGGTTCGATTCCCGGCTCGGTCCACACAAGGATTGGGTGTTCAGTCTCTATCTGATTCGTTGGGTTTTACCCAGCATTTCATCTCGGGGGTTTCCCTCCCACTTCTAACGTGAGTTGATGTGGGTCATTTGGCAGCTGCCTGAGGCGCCCTTGTATGCCATCGGCTCTCCCATGTTTAATGTCTTCATTGTGCAGCTGATCTTTCAAGCCGCACTATGCTTCAGTAACTTATTGTCATGAGTCTGGTCCCAATATTATAGAAATGCTCAAACAAGCAGAAAATCTTTGTAAATTGAGCTATATGAAAAAATTTTCTGGTAATCAGCCCAGGGAAATGTTTATTGTACGCCCAAATGGCAGCTGAGTCACTTTTTCTCAGCAGATTTTTTTTGCGTAGTAGGTCTTTGATGGTTTAAATTTTTCCCTCGAGAGAACACCCTGTTGTCCATAAAATACCAGCGCTGCCCTATAACATTATAATTTTAATGTAACGCGAGACCAATTTGGCCTAGCTGATAGACCCGAACGACTACGGTTTAATTCGCGCTTGATCTTAATTTTTCCTCTTCACATAGGCCTACTGTAGACATCCAAGAATATTTAAGTCAGTGTCTCTTAAAATAGCGATCTCATCAGGTGACCCTCTTTGAAAACCAGATCATCTACGCTTAATAACTGACCTGTTGGATATATTACTAACCTGTTGGATGTTAATGACCATTGTCAAGCCGTTGCCGCTTCCAGGTTGGATTTGGTTTAATACACTTATTTCCTTCTCGTCCTGGGTCTCACCGGAGTTAAAAGTCCAGCAGTTTCCGAATGACGTGAATACGTGGGTGAAATTCTTCGGAGAGAAATGGTAAGCAGAAGTGGTCGCATAAGCACACTCTTAATGAAGCATTTTCAGGTAGACAAATTGTGTGATTTCGCGTTCACATGTCAAAATAGTGCACAAGCCAGACGCTACTGTTAATTTGTGCACGTTGAGACACTGGAACATGAAACTGCTTATTTCTTCAGTCTCGATTTATATCTGGTTGTGACTGTCTGACATACCTCTGCTCGCTGTAAAGAATATATGTCCCAGTTCCTGTTTCTTTCAAGGTTTTACCAGATGAGTGAATTTTTAAGGACACTCATGCAGTTTAGCTTTCTTATCTACCACTTAGACTGCTTACGCAAAATGCCGAAGCCAAAATTTTGTGGACTTTTAAATAATCTTTCTTGGAAAATTATGTTTTCACATAAAAAATAAGAGTTTCCAAATTTGTTTTAATATGCTATTCTAAATGAATTAGGTTTAATCGACTGTGCAAGTCTCGGTGCGTATAAATATAATTGTAGTCCTTCCAACTTTTACACATTGATGTCCTCCCACACGGATAAGAGAAATGGATATTTACACACGACCTCATTTTCCGCTCATCAAAATTGACCGGATTGCACTTTTCCGCCGATAGATTCAGTGGTATCAAGGGCAAACAGGTAACCCGTCAATAAATGAAATAATTATAAAGTAAGCTGCACGCATGTTCATTTTAGTGTTCAAGCGCGGCAGTAACTCAAAAAATTACATATAAATGACTCCTTGTAGTCGGCTGTGCAGCAGATGAATTTTCCCAATACATAGAAAATTAGGTCCTCAACCCAAACTGGTAGTACAGCGATAACCATATGAATACAACAACTCGGGGAAGATGTGCCATTTTAATCAGGGGTCGAGGTACCACTCCACATGCATACCGGGTATTGCTTGTCTTGTGTGAATACTGCATTCAGTGCAATTTTTAATGCACTCCTTCACTCATTAACCGATTCCATGTTGCATTGCCAGAGAGGCATATTGTGGTGCTTTTCTGTTTTGCCTGCGAATGCAGCTTTCCATACTTTATAAGCAAATTGTGGAAGACAGACTGTACATGAAAAGCCTATAGGGCTACTTTATATATAGAAAAGATCTATGTTAAAATTCTGAGCAGGATTTAGAATATTGAAGCCATTTCATCACAGACGTACGTACAATTTTTGACTATTTGCAGTTTTAAAGTTTCTTGGGATGTATGGTTGTAGGTCTACAAAAGGTACATGACAGTACGTCACTGAGCAAGTCTTCTCGTAAAATAATCCATGCAATGTAGTTCTTAAGGGTACCTCCTAGAAAATACACCTTTAGTTTTCGATTTAACTGTATGTTACAGTTTTATCAGCTTCAAGGGGCACGGTTTGAGCATTTTGGCTTTTAATGCTAATAGGAATTTACATATGCATGAGTGAAAGTGCGATGACATCCCAAGAAGATTCGCGGTATTTTCACGATTAGAATTTCGGATAATTTGCTGTCTTGAATTTTCTTTTCTTTAGTGCTTGCTGTCGTTTAAATGGAAGACAACAGGCACGATTATTTCAGGTTCACAGTTTGATCAGAACCAACCCCCCCGGCATTACGAACAGTGTCTTCCTGGACTGGCATGCAGTATAACTGCCCTCATTTCCAGGATAATCCTTGGATATTTGAAACGTTTTTAAAATGAACTTGTCACGTGTGTATAATTAAACAAAACTTTACGCCAGTAGATTAAAGAGGAGTGGAAGATTGGTTGCTATTAAAATTCATCACTCGAACCTCCAATGTGTTCAGTGAACAAATGTTGGGTTCAAAGTTTGGAAAGTAAACGCCTGTACCTAATAGCCACAGTTGTCGAGAGAAGCAGGGGGAATTTCTGAACATTTAAAAGACGTGTAATGTTAAATGAAGTTGATCGTCCAACCGTTTCCGTTAATTCCAGAGGGGCTGATTAGCGCAGGCTTTGTGCCTAAGAACAACCGTCTCGGTCCTTTGAAATTTCACCTGTCCATTGCAACTGTTCTTTTTGCCCCGCCACTTGCAGTCCAGGAGGGTTTCCTCGTCCATCTGGAAGCCCGTGCGCAGAGTGACCTCAGAGAAGCTGAAGTTGGTCGTCTCCCCTTGGCTTTGCGCTGTTCTCCTGGCGTCGGGTTCCTCGTCATCGTAAGTGTCGTAGTCGTAGTCTGCATATTCGATGAGTTCCTCCAGGTGGGCCTTATCGTCCTCGGTCAGCGCTGAACTACGGTATCTGGGGATGTTAGAAAAAACTGTTTGAGTCCATTACATTTCAAGTAGCAATTTTATCGTTGTGTGAATTACTAGTTAGGTGTGAACGGTGCACTGTGGTAAATTGACAAAATGAATTCACCTAGTAGTGTTAGCATCACGTTTTGAGGGAGAAATAGTCCCCTCGTCCCAAAGATTTAACTTTTGCGCGGGTCTGGTTTTCTGACTTCTTGAACCTATTTTGCAAATTTTCTTACTTGTTTGCAACTTGTGCTCATGCACCTACCATTTCTGATGCAGCAGTAAGTCTCTGGAACAACCTGCCAAACCGTATTGGCTCCGAGCTGCACCAAGAGAGGCTGCAGTTTTCCTAGCAACAGAGGCTTCTTTGGTAATAACCGCGCATCGCTGGTTCTGGAACGACTATGAAACGCAATCGTTGCAGTCGCATCGCTACCAACAAAATGAACACCCCCGACCAATATGTCTCTTTTCATCCGATGAGGGTGTGCTTCTGCTCAGATCCTATACCTACTGCTGGCTTTCATCAACATTCAAACGACCTCTGAAGACTCATCTTCTTAAGTACATGTAATATCGTTTGCTCACAGACTTTACCTTTATTGTACTGTATTTACGATCGACTTGTTACCACCCTTTTTATGCACTAATTTAAATTACTTTTTATCGTTAGGAGAGTTGTGCGCCCGAGCCTCCAATGTTCGTTTAATTCACTTACTATTTTTTTAACGTCCACTCAGGCCTTTTAGACTTTTTCTATCTTTAGTTGCTTTTTTTATTATTTAGGTTTCCTCTCCATTCGGGGTTGCTGTCCAACCATACCTGTAAACTTTATGGCCGCTTTTGTGTTGTACACAAGCACTTTATTAATATTACTAGCATTAATTATCAGTTAAATAAGGTTCAATTCTTTTCACACTGAGCAAAAAAAGGGTATTGGCAAGTTTATGAAAACAGGAGGGGCGCTGTTGCTTGAAGTGAGTTTCTTGAGAGACCACCGACCCACCTGTTGAAGTTACAAATTGTCACCGCCGGGAAGTCCAGATCTCCAACGTACTCCACCGACACCGCCGTGGTCGCCTCGTGCAGGAGGTAACGCTGGAACCGGTCGGTGATCTGCCAGACGCAGACGCCCAGACAGCCCAGCAGTATGGACAGCCACAGGAGCCTAACGGGCAGCCGGGTGCTGTCGAAGATCCGGGCAATGCCGTGCAGGGTGGTGGTGGAGGCGAACTCCTGATCCAGGTCCGACTGCTTCTGGCTCGAAGAGTCCTTCATCGTTCCGATCAGATAACTCCAAAAGCTCTTCTCCTTATTTCAACTTGACTCCACTGATGTCTTTGCAAATTCAGCACGAGCAGCGTCATCAGCGATCACCACCAAAGTATTCCGTTCAACTCAATGTTTGTTCAACTTGCTAAATATGATATAACCCCACTCCAAAACACGATGAATAGGCCTACAGGCATTGTACGCCATGTACATTACTGCCACTCAGTTTGGTTTTACCCACGAAGTACGTGACCGTCGCTAAGCAACTCGCCTGTTTGCTGGGCTATTTTCCTCGCACCATTTTCCCCACATTTGTGTGTTTGGTTGAGCAGCCACTTAAACCTATGGCCACGACGTACACAAAGGCGGTCTTATCTAGTCGCCAGTTCAATTTGGAAACCTTTCAATTTGAAAAAAAAGTATTGCTGTTCAGTTTAATTCGTCGGAATAAGCCTGTCTGTGGTGAGTTGCCTACATATTGCGATCCACAATCTTTGTTTTAAACACATGCCCTTTGTGCTTTCCCGTCACAAACAAGTCTTTGCATGGTCATAGACATCAAACGGGAGTTACAAGTGCTGGAAATATGTGGACATGCAAAAGTTGGCTGATGTTTCAAGTTTCATTTCCTAGATCAATTCTGGTCATTGGATTTGTCTGTGTTCCTGTCCCTGAAAGGCCCCTAGTGACTTTAATTATGCGCTGATCCAGTTATCTCCTTATCTCGGAGAGCTCTTCCTTCGGTTTAAATTACCTACGTTCTGAGGGGCGTTAGCCTTGAGCGAGTGCCTCCTCACCCACCACCAGCCACCCCATACAACATTGAGCTGAATGCAGGCTTTACAGAATTCCTACATTCTAATTGGTATAAGTATGAGGAAACTGAAATTTACATTATCCCAACATGTCGTTGCTTTCCCCTTTCCTTTCCCTTCTTTTGGTTTTTTAAAATAATTTGTCATCTTTAGATTTATTGCACTGGCTGATACTCGTTAACAAGTTACTCTAGTCATCCCAATCCTATTAATTCTAAATTCTCTGAATTGCTGTCGAATTGTTTGCAGTCTTACAGCTTGTTAACGGAAGTGATTAACCACTGTGTAAGTTCAGGTTCACATGAATTCATACTACAATGATAACAGGTTGCTAGGACTGCAAGTTAGATTAAGTGGAAGCTTTGTTGGTCCACACAAAAACGGCTCCACTCAACCCTATGCCACCGTTTTTCTGCGTTGTTCCCCGCCATTGAGGGTATTCACTTTATGCATTTACGTGTTTTTGGCAAAAGCGGTGGAGTGATGCCGACTTCCATCTTAAATGAAAAGAGAAACTGTCGGTTTTATTAAGGTAATTACGATGGGAGTTGGTAAGAACAGCTGAATTACCGCCACTGAGTGATTCCATTATTTTCTGCATGTTGAAATGGCTCGTGGGCGTGTTGCATCCTGCGTTGGTGGGTGTGCTGTTTGAAGTCTACTGACAGCGGTTATCCAAATAATTCTCTTCATAAACTCGTTTGTCTATCAGTGCAGCTGGTACATATCATGTCCAGTTTGCCAGTTAGTGTTTCAGCAGATGGCATGATGGTAAATACACTTTGACCTCGGGTGATGTTTGCATCTCTGTGTGTGCTCGCAGCTGTGTCAGAAGCACATTTGCATTCTTGCAGGCATGGGCACTTACCCCAAACGTCCTTAGACGGGAATGGCGACTCTATCAGACTGCATTGCGTAGTTTTTGGAGCACGCTCATTGGGTAGAATTATAAATTTGAAAATGACTTGGGCCAATACTCCCACGTACAGGTTCATTAAACGTGCGCGTTGAATAACTTTGCCGAAATGGAGGCAGAATGTACATTGAGCGTCTGTAACTGACGTCTGTCCTTTCACAAAATTTTGCGGGAACGATCGAGCGAATCTTCGTTTATTTTATGCAAATCACCAACCATCCCCACATACTTGTTTTACATACATGTTTACATTATTTTGCTCTTCTGTGGTAGAGAAAATGGGGGGGGGGTTCCCCCTCTGAAAAGATTTAGAGGCCTATTGGGGTTAGGGTTGTACATGTATGTTGTAAAAGCGGATAGGAACAGTCAAGGAAACCTTTTACAAAAATTCAGTGTCAGATGTCAATGGAACAGCTAGCACTGGAAATTTGGTTCTGTTGAAGAAATTGCACCTCCTATAATTTGACAACCAGGAGTAGAAGCCATTACTGCAGTGGGACAACGCTCGTGGACAGGTGGTACGCGCGCGTTACATGCCTGTTCGACCAGTACGGTGTCGCGATATGCCAAAAGCACGTGCGCGTCAAGCTGAGGAATATGCGTGTGAGCCCGATGCCACCACATTTATGGCTACTAATCAGATAAGTCTATAGTTTAAGATTCAGAAGTAATATTAATAGGCACGTTTTAAGCTATTTATAAATGCACGTACGCTTTTAAAGGAAAAGTTATTTACATTTCTGCACCCGAAACACGTTTCCACGTCTAAAAACTGCTCTGAACCACAAGGCCGTTGCGTATTTGCTTCAAAATCGAGTTGACAACGTTTTTCAAAATCATCTCATTCATTGGATATCACTTCACTTTATAGCATGGTAACATAACAACAGTCCGGGGCTCATCTTTACAGACCAGGTAGGCGCGCTGCACGAGGTTTAATTGCTTGTCACACACTCCACATATTGGCGCGCAAGCGTCTTTCAGTATATTCATTTTTGAACAAAAGGACCAGGATAATGATAGACAGCAGTTTAGTGTTTTATAGTTCTTAGTGAAATACGCAACGGCCCTCTTGATCTCGCAGGATTGCCAAGGCTTTGGATCGAAAGTAACTAACAATTAGGAAAGCAAACATCCTGTCGCGGGCAAAAATCCTATCAACTCAGCGGGATAGCCTTGACGCCTGTACAAGCCTCGGCTCTTTATTAAAATGAAGTAGGCCTACTAACGGGATTCCGTGGAAAACCACCTTGAGGTAAGTAATTTAAACGATCAGTAACAGTATTACGATGGCATTAGGTTTTATTTGACAGCTGTGCTCTTGGCCTTGATTGTTGTGGTTTGCAGGGCCTCTGTGTTTAACAAATGAGGAGGGGGGGGGCTGTAACCGCTGCCGCCCTGAAAATATAGACCAGCTCCAAGACTACGCACGCGCGTCAGGGCATGGAGAAGTTTGGCGTAGGAGGCTGGCGCTGTATTTTTCCCTTGCCGGCCGTATTTCACATTTCTTCCCGCTCTGGGAAAGTTCCCATGGCATCCATAAAGCAGGAGAAAACTTTTAAAATGTTGAATTTTAACTATTCAGTCCCTTGATTTTAAGTGCCTTCGAATTGTTGAAAAAGTATTTAATTCAACCTGACATAGAGATTGATGTGGTTTAAAACATGACTAGTATTAAAAACCGCGTTTGTATATTGCCATTGGTGCTCCAGATAGTTCAAGGCACTCTGAGTATAACTTCAGACAAAGACGTACTTAAAAAAAAATACTCTTAACACTGAGAAGACGGGTTCAGCAACCCGGAGAGAGTACAGAAACAGGCAGCAAAGCAGAACTGAGTCAACCACATTGTTTGTTGAAGACGCACGTATGACTATAATTTACAGAAGACCTTTCGGTCACCCGAAGCCAGGTTGTTAAGATTCTCGACGACTGAAAAACGCGTGGAGCATTCCTTCTTTCCCAAGAGTGACACAAAGGACGAGACAGTTTGTAGTTTAAATTAACCCAAATAAAAGCTGGAATAGTTTGAAAATGAACTCCAGTCTCAGTAGGAACTCAATCAATTATCAATTTATTTTTGTAGAACTTGGCTTGTTTTTGTGGCTTGTAGTCTCAATTTGCCAAGTAAGCTATATCAAGACTTAGCAAGACCTTTTGTCCTGTTTGCATCATCGTATCCTTTTGTCAGTTTGATTACAACTTTTCAGCACTTAGGGAGTACGTGTGTATGTAGTACCATTGGCTGGCAACTGCTGCTCAGTTAAGTTGATGCCCACAGTAATATGGAACTGCACTTAGTTCCGCACAAGTTGCGCCCCCAACGGAAAGCTGAGGCGCGCGTCTCCACTTTTCCTTTAGGGAAAGCGGTGCCAGACTAAACGTCTGCCCATAGCGTCCTGTGGTTGCCGTTGTCGATGCGAACACTTTTCAAGGGTACATCTCTCCCATGGCGATTGTCTCGCTGCCGTTCGAGTAAGCGCCGGTGCTTGCCCAGTCCTCGCTGAATCCAGAAGTCGATCTTTTTGCCGAAATAGGACAGAATCTCCGCCAGGGTGATGAAGCTGGCTCCCAGGAACAGTCCCAGTTGGCCGCCGATATCGCCTGCGGGGATTGTATTTTTGAAAAAAAAACTATAGTTGGAATTTTTTTTTTAGATGATAATGTTGAGGCATAGTCAATCGTTTGATTTGGTCCGAAGGCTCTATGAATTGAAATTCTATTTCTGGAAAACATTACATTCAACTTACTGATTAAAGCCGATGGAGTGATGGCTTCCGATTGCTCGTACCTCTCAAAGTTGATATCTTCGTAAAACACATCCAGCAAAATCACGTTTTTCCTATACAGAATAAGCCAAAACGTGTCATCTGAAAGAGGAACCTGGCCGCAGTTTTTGTGTGATACACTTGCAAAGTGGTACCCTAAACAGGAAAAATCCACCTTTCCAACAACCGATCAAGTGCGTTTTTAAGCAGAAACTTTTCTGGTAAGCAATTGATTTTCTGTATTTATTCTTTAAGAAAAAAATATGTTCTTGAGACGATTCGGTCGAGGGATAGCTAAGGCCTTTTCAATTATTTGATTTAGTCAGAAACCTGATCTCAATTCCTTCGTATCCTCGAAATGGGAGACTTTGAGAAACTTGGTGGCGACAAACATACCAGTTTTGAGCATGAGCGCGTTGTTCTGAGCTTGTGTGCATCATTTTAAGCACGCGCAATAAACGGACGGCTTTGTCTGCTGCCACCAGCGTCTCAAATTCTCCCATGACGATTTCTGACCTCTCCCTTTGGTCAGCATGTCGACAACACGGTTCCTCCAACAGAATGAGTATTCCCTAATGATCACTAAGCTTTTCAAAGCTTACGGTATGTAGCCTTCCTCAAAGAGATCCAACTGTGCCGGGTACGGAACACTGAAGGACGAGTAAGAGTAGTCGCTTGAGTAGGAGGTCTCCGTCAGACCTTGCAGGTGCGCCGCAACGCTGTTGCTGGGTATGGACGCCGTGGACAGCGAGGTGGTGAAGGTGGTGTAGTTACATGGCACGGGGCAATCGCATGGGTTATCTTCCCCGCCTACCAGGGCGCCTAGAGGACGGTAAGGGGTAAAATGCAGTGGTGATAATGGAGTTAATTTTGCAGGGGGCACTTGGGGGCTCATTTTCTGCAGTAAGGGGCACAGTCGCAGGTAAAACACTGACCATCAGCAGATTTTTTTGCCTTCGGGGACCCCAAAAGTCTTAAGCAGGTTAATGCAGGTTTGGATGCCTCTCCGCCTCTAGCAGAAGCAGCCCCACCCCGTCGGTGGAAAAGAGCCGTGATGATTGGTTCGCTTGTCTCCCTGCTCCCGAACAGGACACTGGGAAAGGCCGATGGCCTTGCACAGATTTTAGCGAAGGAAATACGTCACACGGGATCACAGCTAACGGCGTGCAGAGCATAGAGAGTAATTTCTGCCAGACCTGCGAGCTGGCAATGCGTTACACTAGCGGCGGTTATTAGTTTGATATTCTGACTACACTTTATTGTTTATCCAAAATTGATCCAGATGACCAATGAATTGAAATATATCGTCCAAAGACACGTGATCAGTGATACTTACTGACAAGATAAATAATTACACTGTGATTGTACCAAAGCCAAGTTTTTATCATATTGTCTTCAGGCAAACTTGAATTCTCAGTTTTGATCGGCCGATCCATGACAACAAGCAGTGTAATATATAACCGTATTGCACGGTTCAAACCCTGCGTAATACGCTGTTCTAACTCAACACGTTGCGCTATTTTACGCTAAAAGCAAGGTAGCGCACATCTGCATGACTGTAATTTCAAAAGTGGCCTGTTTGCTGATTGTCACATGTTTTTAAATGCACGTACAAATTTCCTCTCATATTGTAAGCCCAGTTGTTGTTATTAGTTAGTTGTTGTTATTGAAATAAGTTAAAACGCAAATAATTCCCATGCTCCCTGGATAAAATTGTAGAATTGTGATACGTCGGTGTTACTGTTTTTTTTTCTGTGCGCCGTATGATATCTTATGTCTTCTTTTTTACGTAAAGGGCGCATAGCCCCACTTTCTTTACTGCACGTCAAATTAATAAATTAGTTATCACGCTCGCACATAACTAAGAGGCCCAATAGTCGATGCTTTGCCCTTGCTAAAACATTGCAATGGCAAACCAAAAAATTTAAATAACGCTGACAGGAAGTGATAACCTCATGATAATATTTAGAATCAAATTTACGTAATGAACCAAATGCTTGACACTACATGAGTCTAAAAAAGCAAAACAGCCCTGTAAAAACCTTCTTCTGGAGATTAACCACAAATGCTTCACGCTAAAGATTACAAGATTACGGTCCACCTTTATCCTGCGGCTTGGAAGAAAGAAGACACAGATGGCTTTAGCCTACGGGGAACTAGAAACATCTTGAAGACGCCGCCCTTCCGAGTTCCGTCGTGTTGTGCTTCAAGATACTTACCTAGGGTGCTCATGGCGCAACCGCTTGTTTGCTGGGGCGAGCATTCCGTCTCATTCCCTGGATGTCTGCAATCACACAGAGCATTTGAAAAAAGTCATCAAGGGGATCAATTTTTGAAAAGGAAGGCAGCTTATCTAAAAAACTTGACTGCAATGTGAGGGTCGTTTCAGTCACTGTCTCCTTAAGGACTCCGTAGTTGTGCTATTTTATAACGTGGGCCTGCGTGATTACATTGTTATAACGATTACGTCATTGGTATGCGTCCTCTTGTAATTAACATAGTCCATAGGAAAAAGCAATCATAGTATTCGAATTGGATTGGGATATCTGCCTGTGGCTGTGTATCTGCTTAAGGTTGTTTGTGAGAATGTGCCGAGTGACTGTTATCGGAATTTGGGGATACAAATCATGAAAACAAAGATTCCTTTTTGCGGTGTAATATTCATTGTGATGCGTCGTCGACATCTTGGATTGCGTGTACATGCAAAACTGTCCTTTCCGGATCGTCCATCAAAGTGTAAGTAGTAGAGGCTGCGTTATTGTACTGAAGCTTAAGTTTAATAGTTCATTTGTAGAATTTACCAGCCAATTTCTAGCTCACATTCTCGCATCACTATCACTGTAATCTCTGTACGACTATCAAGCTCAAGCAACTATGATTACAACAGGAGAAATTTCAGGTTAAATGATGTTGTTGTCTTGACCCATGCTCGTACTACGCTTTCACGTGTAAATCTCATCGGGTCCTACACAACTACTGTGGTTAAGCCTGGATTTGGTTTCTTTGCTTGACACACTATTTTAACAGGTAGAGGGCCGGCGTGGCTGTTGCCTTGTATCCCCAGCCCCAGCTTGGCGTTCGGGGATTCGGGGACTGAATTGAATTAGAAGATTGAACTGGAACTTTCAATGAAAGTTAATTCCTAGCTCTCTGATTGGACCGTGGACGAGTGAGCGTGCCTGGAGCTTAGGCAAAAACACGTGATTTGCATCACCTGACAACAGTCTAACGCAGCAGCTAGCCCACACTTCCTGAATGACTCTGCAAGTTGGACCCAGACACTCCGGGGGGGGGTTCACTAACCGGGTGAGTTTGGTTTTGCCAAAAATTTGGCGGGAAGATGCCCACTCCCAGCGCTCCCATACGTTTGTGTACAAAAGTGCTCCTCCCCCATGTGACAGCTAGTGAAGCACGCCACTAGCTGTAGAGCGATTTCACAAGTGCCTGGGAGGATCAATCACCCTTGTGTTTGGATGGCCCTAGATGGCCCAGCCGCAGCGGTGAGATTTTTTTTGTTTTGGTTGGGATACCCTTTTCCATTGTATTTGTTTGATGAAAGGAGGACATAGGCCTAGAAGCAGAAAAATACTATGTATAGTGCCTAATTACCTAATTGCCAGTGTGACTCACAGTGAGCCAAGCTCCCACTTGGACGTATAATGCAACATAGCTCACTCTTCGGGGCCATGTAAATGGAATTCCATTCCATGTACATGTATATGGAATTCCTTTTATGGGGGCCACGTGTTGCATTCTGTGCCGCACTTCATAGATTATTTTAACCAACTTGGGGAAAACGGAGAACTGGTTGTCATCTCTGTTCTTCCATTACTGACATTGTCAATTCATTTCAGAGTCAGACTATTTGTTATTAAAATGGCCCACAGTTAATTTTGTGAGGTGATACTTTTATCTCCTGTCTTATGATATTGAACATGTAGTATTAGGGTTGGGCCACAGCATCAGTAACCAACCGTTTGGTGGACCTTCCTACCAGGCAAATAGTGCACGTAACACTGCCCAATGGTCATCCGTGGTCGGTTGTGCAGTAAGCCTCCACAAAAAGGGACATCCATTCTTTTGACGTTAGGCTTACCGTACGAGTCTGCAATTACACTTCTCCAGTATGGCTCTCGCTCTGCATTCAATTTTACATCCCTCCCTCGTGTAATGAGAGAACCTCGTCAACGTCTTAGAGGCGTTGCATTTCCCGTACGGATGCTCCAGGTTAAGGTACTTAAAAATTACAAGACAATGACACCCACTTAAGAATATCATAATATATGACAAATACGTTTCTTTAGTACTTTAGTTATTACGTTTGCATATTGTTTTATTGCTATCTTCCATATTTCTGAATATGCATTTCTTAAGTATTTCACAACTTACAATCTCTGGAAAACAACATGCATTCTGCTTCAATTTTCACGGAGTTTGAATTGTGTGGTGCATTTTTGACAGTTATATTTTGGCATCAAATTCAACTTACTGAGTTCATACCAAATTGAGAGTATTGATAGAATTATACATTGTAGTTTTCAAATGTGTTCATAAACATGTTAGCATGGCCCTCTGTTCTTGAACCCAAATATGGCAGAATGGTTTGTAAGCTCTCAGTCATGTGCCGTTTTGAAAAACAAAATGCTCTACAAGTCTCGTCTTTATTTCAGGAAGCAGAACCTTGTCTCTACCTGCTGTTTACGAACGCCAATGAAAGCATAGACGCCGGGTGAGATGGCAAGCCCCGAGGACTCTACGAAGGGAGGTGTTGCTTGGTCGTGAATGAGGACCTTCAAGCCGGCTGGAATGTTCCCATCCACCGTCTCTGTGTATTCGCTCTGAGGTAGGACAAAAGTTCAAATATCAAAAAACATGTTGATATATTGTCAATTTTTCGGGCTGATTGGTTGTCATATAGAAAGTTACATGTTGATTGAATTGACCGTTTCCCCGTCTGATAGTTATCATTGCTGAATACGGTCGTTTCACAATAGTGCGCCTCCAAGAGTTTGCAACGCGTTGACCAATCACAGTGCGCGAACTCTGTCGACCCAATGTGCGTTTGGAAAGGGTCGACAGATTTCGCGCACTGTGATTGGTCAACGCGTTGCAAACTCTTAGAGGTGCACTGTTGTGAATGGCCTGTATTCTGACGGGTACTGATTCGGTTAAAGTTCGCAGAAACGCAGAACGATAAGTTGTGATGGTGAATGCTAAATGAATTAGAGAATTAAGCCTGGTCACTTAGTATAGCCAAGGAAAATTTTGGTCACGTCAACCAGGGATGTGGTCTCAAACGCGAGATGAGTAGATTTGGAGACATACATGTAGCATGAAAATGCAATTGCTCCAACTGTCTCCTGTCATCAATGATTTTAATGGCTGAGCAACTGTGCATTACTGATCTGCAACAGCACACGATGGAAGGGACAACACAGTGCAAACAGACAGTTGAAACGGTGAATGAGAGACAAAAGGCTGGCGCGGAGGAAGCAGGCCAGCAGAGGGACAAGCGTCGATTTGTACCTGCTGTATGTCGATCAACATCCGGACTCCGTTGCCGCTCCCTGCCTGAGTTTCCTTCAGAATGGGTCCGGTCTTCCCAGAGTTAAAAGTCCAGCAGTTGCCGAAGGAAGTGAACACGTGCGAAAAATTCTGCAGTTTTGTTCAAAACAAGAGTATGGCCTAAAGTGATGATTAACAGATTTACTAGTCATTACAAAAGCTAATGACAGTGTCGAAAACCAAGATTAAGCAAAGGAAAAGCGGGACAACGCTTGACTAACCGCAGGCGAACAACTTTTTGTCTTTCGCCGCCACTCGCACTGGCGAAGGGTGATGTCATCCATTAGAAAGCCCGCCCTCAACGTGAAGTCGGTGTAGTTGAAATGCGTGTCGTTGTCTCGCCCGTCGTCCGCGACCACGTCCCAGTACTCTACACCACCTTGGCTGTCCCCAAACGAGTCGTAGTCGTAGTCATTGGCCCAAATGATGTACGGCAGATAAGTTTTGTCACTCTCCGTCAGCGCGCTTGATCGATATCTGTTACGGAAGACAGTCGTGGTCAATATTAGCAATCAGGAACAGAAGTACAAGGAAAATGAACTGAAAAAAGGCACGTGAATAGAAAAGAGCATATCCTTAGTAAAGGAAATTAAGCCCATCTCTGTCCTTTTTTAAAATTGAATTCATAGTTTGGAAATTGTGTCACCTTTTGAAAACATACGCAAAGTAAACGCAAGGCAAATTGCTGGCTTTTTTTGCTGAAATTAAGGATAGATCTTGCCAGAGAATTTTCCCTGTCATGAGACCAACGGTGGAAGTTAGTCTTTTTGGCCTATTTACGCAGGAAGATATTGTCATCGTTGGTTGGATAAACTACCCCCTCATCAATCCAGAAAACAAACACTCCTCTCAGATTGGTTTAAGCGAAGTATACCTGTTGAAATTGCAAATGGTCACTGCCGGGAAGTCCAGATCCCTGGTGTACTCCACCGAGATTTCGGTGTTGGCCTTGTACTGCAGGAACCGATGGAAACGGTCTGAGATCTGCCAGACGCAGACGCACAGGCACGTCAGCATGATGGCTACCCAGACGAACCGGATGAGGAGCCTGCTGGCGTGGAAGACCTTGGCGATGCCGTGCAGGCTGGTGGACTCGGCGAACTCCCGCTCTAGGCTGGATTTACCGTGACGCTGCCGACTTGCCTCGTGCGTCATAGCGGTTGGCTGTTTAGTTACTGTAATGGTAACCGGCGATTGATTTGTTCACCGCCGCCCTTGTTGGTCATTCTGTCAGCGACGAACTCGGATAGAGACGAAAAAAATAAATGTCAAAAAATAAGAGAAAAAACACGTATTCTTGTCTCCAATCACATTGCTCAATTTTACAAGTCAGGTATGCATATGTAGCGATATAATGACTTCAGACAAAATTGCATTAGGCTTAAGTCAACAAAAGTCGTTCCACAAATGCTCTTGTATTAACTGCTGATTTGGTTTAATCAAATCCAGCTGATTGTTATTTGCACCGTTTCAGAGTTTCTGTAAGAGAAAAAGTGGATCAAATCGTTTGAAAATTTGTCACATAATAGAGGATGCTTTGTGAATAAAAGTTTCAAACCCATACTCAACTATGTCGTTTTCTCACATGCCAACGAACAATTGGCTTGTCTATCAGCACCAAAGGATCACAGCCGACAGTGATGCATTTTAATAGCTTACCCTCTATCTTACTGCCGAGTGAACTGCACCATTTCCTTTTCTGTCCACGTTTCGGATCATGTCAAAGCGTAACTCGTGAAAGAAACAAAACACGCGCAGTATTTGTCACCGACGAAGCGCCCAGCTGGCTCAGAACTTCGACTCAGTATCCGTACTCTGCAGAACGATCTCTTTCCTGGTCAACCGAGCAGGTCCTAAGCGTATCTGACATGTGATATTGGTTCATCGTATCAAGATGGAAAGATTCCCTCATGCTAAGTAGGCCTACCGAGTTTCTGTTTGCAGCACCTGAGAACAGCCATGTCAGTAGGTGTTTATCCACAACTTACTGTGCACACATCACCCGTGGAGTGGTGTACGGCAACAGAATGAAACTGGTGGTCCAAAGTTTGAAATGCTTATTGTTATTGGGCTGGAGTACTTAAACATCGTTGCCCTGACCCTTGAAGGGAATAACCACCGATGGAGAGAACTATTAACATTGACAACAATGCTTTGTTAAAAATCTTTACTGGCAAATGGTGGATTTATTTTAATAACAGTAATGGAGATCTTCCGAATTAAACCCGACACCTTATATGAACAGTCCCAAAATAATGATTTTCATCATCAAAGTCTCTGTCGTAGTGTTGGTCGCATATCGTACCAGCACAAGTGATTTAAAAGGATTGGGTTTGGAAAATTTGGTTTGCTAGTTTGAAAGAAGTCGGCCAACATTCGTCCTGTACCCGGTAGAAAGGCATTCGTTTTTTTTAACCAATATGAACACCAGGAAATGACAAATTTTGTTTTCCCAACTGTTGGCCTGGGGGTGAAATTTAATCGAATTTTGGGAGGAATTTTCTTAAACCTATCTGGTATTTTGACCGACTCTGGATCAAATATGAACTCCAGCAGAACATCATGAATACTCAACAAACCGATGGGCTAAAACAGTCAGGACTTGGAATAAGAAATAAGATATTTTGATTCCGTCAGACATGTAAATGCCAGATTAAAAATTGCCAGCCCAATGAGATATAAGAGTGACTCGTAGTAGACACGGGGTATTTAACCTCAACGCTAACCATATGTTGCCGGCCCTAGATTAGTGTTCATTACAATGCATGTGTCATAGGTACGATCTTGCCGCGGTATGTTCATCCCAGCTTGTCTTGCGCAATCATAACTCCACTTTCATTCATTCTTAACCAAAGTGCGCTTACGCAAGATTTATGCTTAGCAGCACAGCAACAGGTGGTGTCTGATTTCGCGCGCTTTGACCTTAAAATAAGGCGTCGTCCAATTTGACAGATATTCATAAAATAGAACGAAAACAATGAATTTTTAAATAATTTATTCCAAGTTCGTTAAACATAATGTTTTTCGGCGGAATCGACTTCGTGTGTTGCGGTAGAAAATGTCTTGAAACGTTCGGTTTGAAACAGGCACTTTTGGTTTCGTACTCGAAGCAATCGAGTGTTGTCGACATTGGTAATTTTTTTTACTCCACGATTATGAACACGGATTAATAAGACTTAGAATGCGCTGGATAAAAGCTCTGCAAAATGAATTTGAATCTGACGTGTTTTGGCACCAAATCGTGCCAATACGTACATTTTGTAACGGAAACATTCCTTCCCAGATCTAATTTATAACTGTTTTATGTCGAAAGAAAACTTAGTTCCCATAGTCCAATTGATGTTTTACCAAATTAAAATGAGGATTATCCTTGCAGCGTGCTTTTGTAAGGACAGGATTTAATTCTATATTTGCGTGTACATGCGCATCTGCTGTGCTACACTAAATACGCGCCCGTTGATATCAGCGCAATATCGAACAGGGCCGCCTGGTGACCTCCAGGAGCAGGTTGGCCTCGTGTGTTTCACTGGATACAAGTTGTGACCACAAAATTAGTATTTCTTTCTTTTCAATTTCAGAAGTACATTAGCCACCAAACGACCCTTTTCATTCGCCCTTCCCTGAAAATCCCCTCGACGTGTAGTCAGACTTTGCGCGCAGGTGTGAATGTATAACCGCCTGCTTCCTTGCAAAATACCAAACAGTTACATGTGCTTTTATAGGAAATTGTCAACCTGTGATTTGTTGACGGTACACCATAAAAACAAGTGTTATTGTCTTAACACTGCCTTCTCGGTAACACTTTTTTATGAACGCGTCGTGGTGTTTTAACATGGTGTGATGTGATTTTTTTAAACAACGACGTGTTGATGTGTTAACAAATTCAGAAACAGACAAAATAACAAGGCACTTAAATACGTTTATCAGATGCTAACACTATTTGAACACCGAAAATGTTTATTTCCAAAACAGTGTTTTATTTTTAACGGAGCATGTCAACAATTCAAGCAAAGACACATTCATAATTGGATTTTTTTTACAGTGTGTACAAGGCTGGGGCTATTCAAATTGAATGGAGTATAAACTACTATATTTGGCGGATTTCAGAGTAAACGCACCAATTTAATGTACTGAGAGTGCGTTAGATTTGTTTCTCGTAAAATTTATTTTCCATTAAAACCTTGTTGGGCAAAGGTACAATATTTTGCAATAGTTGTTTATTTCTTTGGTAGATAAGGATCTTATAAAAATAACTGCCATAAAACCTTCTGAAGACTTTGAATTTGAGCAGAAAGTGTTCCATCATCCCTCTTTTTTCGAGCATATAATCTCGAAAACTTCAAATAACAAATGAAGAAAAAGAATTTCTAACTGTCAACAAGGTTTTCTCAGTTAGTGAGGCATAGCAGTAATAAGTAGTAAATAATCAGCTCAGTAAACAACCTGGGGAACTGAGACATCTGCGTCGATAAAATTGTCGGATTCAAATAAGCGGAAGTAATTGTTAGATCTCTAATTAGGCTAAGAACATCACAAAGCTGTATAACTGTGTTTTACGTTGGCTCTATTGTGCTCCTTGGCTCTGCCCTGGCACTTAAGTTGCACACTAATTTGATAAGCCAACAGATGACCAACAATATGGTGCGTGTATACCAAATCCCCTTTTTGCTTGAATCTGTGACCAGGTCAATTACGGAGTACGAAAGACTCACAAAGCATCCAGAGACTTTGCTAATCGGTGGTGGTGCTGCGACAGAGCCGTATTCAAGTAACACCCTAGTTTCTCACGCTGAATGCCACTGATGAGTCGTGTTCTAAATTTACACCTGAGTTTCTACAGCGTGTGTGATTTCACATTGTTCCTCAGGTCGTCCGGTAGGTCCGTGAATCCAACGCTTTATCTTCCTGCCGAGGTACGAGAAAATCTCCGCCAAAGTGATGCAACTTGCTCCGAGGAAGAGCCCCAGTTGGCCGCCAATGTCACCTGTGAGGAGGTAAACCCGAGATTACGCGTGATCGGAGTAGTGTGCGACCAAAATGAAGTGCATCCGAGGTGACTCGGGAACAGCAATAGGCGCGTGCAAGGTCTTCCAAGGGACTTGTGCTGGACTTGTGTGAAGGGACTTGTGATAGATTTGTCTACAAGACTGGTGTAACGCGCACTTGCGTGCAGCCATTTGGACTGCTCATGCTATCTGTTTCTGTATATGTTACGTCGGGTCAGCAGTGCCTGCTTTTAATTAGAATAGTGTATTTTCGTACATGCGTCGATAAACATGATCCTTACTGATCAAAGCTGATGTGGTCATAGCTTCTGTCTGTTTGAACTTCTGGTAGCTGATGTCCTCATAAAATATTTGTACGGCGACAAAGTTTTTCCTGCATGGAAGAGAGACTGAAAATTATTACGTGTGGGTGTCACCAGATCAGACAGGTGACCCTCTTTAGATTGGATGTTCTTGGGGTCATCTTGTGGTGTGATATTTCAAGAAATATACAGGTAGTCACCTGTCTATTAGTACCAACAAATCTTCGTGAACCACAGCATGTACAAAATGGTGCAGTGCATGAGGAGTGCCGTATACATGCACGGGAGAAGATGACTCCAGCGCATAAATTCGGTAACCATCACTGAACCTAACGCCGTGTAAGCTGTCTCACCGTATGTACTCCCCTTCGGACTTCGCCCATGACACGCTGCTTTCGGAACTGGTGGATATGTTGCTAGCGAACAGCAACGATATCTGTAGTGCTTTCTCGTTTGGTATAAACGCACTCGAGAGCGACGTCGTGTAGGCTGTGTAGTTACACGAAACAGGACAATCGCACGATTGGGTGTCTCCGCGTAAAAGTTCAGCTAGAGTGGGAGAGTATATAAATATTTTATACGTTAATCATGGGCCGTTTATGTCACTGAAACAGAAGCACCTGCCTGCACAATGTATACAGCTACATTGCCACACTTATTTCGAACTTTTACTTCAAATTACTGAAGGGAATTTCGAGTTGGGCTGTCCGTGATTTCTGCAGCACTGTTAAGTTCTCCCTCGCACATTGAACTTGGATTTTCTGTTGGAAATCGGTACTCACTGCAGAAATAAGTGGAGGGTGCACCCCCCGCTGTTAGCCATAGTACAATCTGGGTAACCGAAAAGGCAATGTTGGTGTGATTTGCTTGCAAATTTCAGAGCTGCAGGTGACTGAGTAACGGTGGAGTCCATTAAGTGAAGTCAAAATAACATCTAGTTGGTCCACTCCGTACAATTCTATCTCTCGTACCTCTTCAGGGTGACGGGAGCCCTTGCGCCTCCGCCCTGGACTACCACGGACCCAATGAAGTTTCCATGTTGGTATCTTCTATACTTTTAATTGCCTTCTGTGTCTTAAAAAACCCTAACCGAGCCTCGACATTTCCTCTCTTGGTCGAGTGAGTGTATTTGTGTACTTGTGCCAATCTTTCGGGAGTTCTTCTGTCCACATGCCTTACGAACATTTCGACACTTCTTTGTGAAAACCAAATACTTATTCAGCCCAACTGTTTAATTGTTTTTCCGCATACGTGCTCCTTTCCTGCAGGCTGACACAAGGGAGGCCATAAACTGCAAATGACCCCAACATTTCCTCAAAAGTAATATAAGGGTGAAATGAATATCCATACTGTGATCATGAAATGATCCCCAAAACACTTGCTTCTTTTAAAAGAGATAACACCACTGCCTCACCAATAGCTTGCCTTGCGCAGAACCTGGCTTCTTTGGGCGTACATTCAACTTCATCTCCTGGATGTCTGTGAAGACGGAAGATATCAGTAACTCTTTGGTACTGTTGCCTAGGAAAAGTCTTGACTGGAGAGTACCAAATCCCCCATGAATACTTCTATCAGTAGGTAAAGATTATTGGTCTGAATCTTGCACTTGTATCTCGTACGTACAAGTCTCAATCAACGCACGCCTGTTAAGCCCAAATGCGTCGAAAGCGTGCCCCTGGAATAGAATGATTCATCTCTTTCCAATTATCAACTCGCCTGTTGTTCTGCCCAGCTTCAAAGCCGTGCCTGTTTGTTTACCCCTGCTAGGCCTAGGGTGCTTGCCTGCCCGTTCTGAGTCCCCTGCACGAGTATAGCCCTCGAAGGGTGAGGGAGAACCTAAGCCGACTTTTAACGCCACTTCCCCCTTGCCAGACGTCTGGCCCGCTGGATACGCATGTGTGAAAGTGTGCATTTTTACACGAGAATTAGGCCAATTTTCAGAAGGCGTTCTGTACCCACACCCATGGGCCAATTTCATTGAACGCGTACCGTAGCGTGATCATGCTGAGAGGATTCCTAATGAAAACGTGTTTATGAAAGGGACCTGTAGGCCTACTCAGTGTTTACGGAATATTCCCTTCTTCAGGCGAACTTTCTCAAAGTTGGCATCTGGAAGGGGGAATAACTGTGTGACCCTCGACATTGCGAGACTGGTATAGCATACAGCCAAGCACTCAGACTGAGACACGTTTGTTCTAAAGACTCTTAATCTCGTTGAGCACAGGAACCGAAGAAGAATTTGACTGCAAGGGCCACAGCTATCCGATTCAAAACTTTATCAAGAGGGCCCGCTCCGTCCCAAGAAGTCTTGCTCTCAAGGAGAAGACCCCCATGAAGAAACCATCCTCAAGGTTCCCTCTGTCACCACTTTTCACCCGCGTCTTCCTCTCTTCCGCAGAATAATGACAATAATCACATCCTCCTCATTTCAGACCACTTTGACAGTGCCATCCCAGACAGCCCGCTTGTGGCCTACAGGCATTCCTACGGGACCTGATGATTCGGGCATAGGTCCCCTCCTTAGATACACCCCCCTTCCCCAGCATGGCACCTTCAAGTGTGACTATAACAGTTGTGTTGTTTGCCAGAACCACGTCTGAAATCTGGCACATTGTCTGCATGAATGTTCCTCAAGTGCCACCCACAAAACTAATGGCACCATTTCCCTTGCCTACTGGGTGTGCCGTGTTCGGTATCTCAGAGAGAATAAGAACTCTATCGAGCAGCGTGTCTGTGGCCACAGATCTATTGTCAACACCAAGCGACTAGATACCCCCGTAGGCCATCCCTTCAAACTTCCTAACCATTCCATTTCTGATATGGCCTTTATACAGGGCATAGAATCACCTTGTAGGCTCGCTTCAGTAGGGAGAAACTGTGGGCCAAACGCCTCTGGACCATGCAACCCCACAGCCTGAACATCTACGAGGGAAACTATGCCTTTACGCCTTCACCCCTTCTTTTTGTATTGCATTCATCCGTACCTGGTCGATTCCCTGCTTGCTTGTTTGTCCCTGTCCAATTGTCATTTTGCCTTTGAGAATGATTCTGCTAGGATGGAAATGTCAGGCCCTCCTATTTTTATGATTTGTATTTTAGGTCACTGTAGCCAGCAAGCAGTTTGCAGCAGTTTTGTATTATACAGTGTTTACTCTTTCCGCGTGTTAGATTGCTTACTCGAGTAAGCACAGATGCGTTCGATATGACAATCACGTGACTTTTCGTGGTTACTGGGGGACAGGCCCAAATATCCAACCCGCCGAGCTGGTTCCTTCAGAAAGAATCCCGCCATGCAGTGCAAAACATACAGGCTCGATTGAGCAGAGCGAAGGAAAGTTGATGCCGCCTAAAGAATTCAGAAAAGAAAATCATTGTGTGTAGGGGCAAAGCCAAGTAAGTTATTTGAAACAAAGAAGAAATCCAATAAGCGGCTTTCAACAAGCAAAGCATATACTTGTTGTATTGGCCCCATAGATATATCAACCAAGACAGACTGATAATCTCCCATTCAGAATCGACTTCAGGAGTTAAAGGTGGTGACGGCATCGAACTATCGCTACAGTCGTCGCCATTTCTCCAGTCCAGGCGCTTACCTATATAGATGAATATTTACCGGGTGCAATCACTCCTCTAAAGATCTTAATGGGCCCTCAGCTGGACCAAGAGAGGGCGTAAATTTCCTAGCCATGGAGGCTTCTTTGTTAAACTGCTCAAGGCTGGTTCACGAATGACAAGGAAATGAGTTGTAGTCGCATCGCTACCGAGAAAATAAATACTCCCGACCAACATGGCTCTTTTCAACCGATGAGAGGACGCCTCTGCTTAAGGCGGGCACTATTATTCATCTGAATATTGTGAATCGACCACATTGAGAGGAGAGATTAGATCTTACTCTATTAGCCTACAGCGGCACTTTTCCCAAACCGCCTTTGCTCTGCACTCAATGTTGCATCCTTCCAAGGTGTAGTTGTCATATCTCTTCAGCGTACGGGAGGCGTCGCATTTTCCATACGGAGGCTCAAGATTTAAATACTGAAAGAAAGCAGAGTGCCAAATTTCCTTTCAATTTACTTGACCGGCCTTGGAACACCCGGAAGTCTCCGAGTGTTTGTCTAATATTGCCGCCTACCCTCTGCTGAGAATGCTGATAATGCATTTTACAAATATAGAACTTTAGAGGTTGTTTTTCTTGGTTTGAAAACCTGCATAAATCCCCGTCAGAACGTTGATCCCACGTCCATGAATGATTTGGTCTATTCAACCGTACAGGTTGAATAGAACTTCCTTCTCTTGACTGGTTCCCACCCTATGTCATAGGTCTCATTCCCGTTTGATAAGAAAGAGGAAAATAAGGGAGGGACGGAAACTAGTCTAACAGTGCACAGAAGTGTGGGTAACGTTTCGGACACAAATCTGTTTCGCAAAATGACGGACGTTAATTAATACGCGAGCGGGAACTAGATGTTCCTCAAACAGAAGAAAATCTATGCAGGTTTTGTACACAACAAATAACAAATGCTCCAAATTCATAAACATTATTTGTATGATATATTGGAACATGGAATATTGGAACATGCGCGTCGCAACAAAACCACCTTGGTACACAGCTGCTTAACAGTAATCCTCGCCTCTGCCTCTTTCTTTTTCATTATCAAGCTACACGGATAAGGATTTTATAAACACTGGGCATATGATCTATACACTGTCATATCCATTCCTCCATCCTGTATTGATTTACTAGGATTCTCCTTCGAGCCTGCTTCCCCTTAAATTTGAATTTGATACTCTCCTGACAACGAGATGGGCACAGCTAGACTAAACTCTCTTCATGTACTGCCTTTTCGTAGTTTCATCAGTAGCGAAGCTAAGAGTTAACGCCTATCCAACTTGATGAGGCCCGTCTCTCTTATTTTCTTCTTCCCACCTCCCGACAACTTCAGCAAATATACGAAAAAATGTACAAAAAAGCATATACATGTACATGTACCGGTACTTTATTGTGAGCTAACTCCGTGAATTCCATCGAGAAATTGATACCCCTAAATGCAACCCCTTGCATATTTGACACGAATGGGGCAGTTGGCTTGGTCAGTGTTGCATTTCAGTGATTACCTGTTGCCTTCGAATAGCCAAAAATGCGTGTTCGCCGGGCGATAAAGCAAACCCTGATGACTCGACCGTAGGTGGGGTTGCTTGATCGTGCACTTGGATCTTCAAACCGGCGTCCACATGCTCTGTTTCGGTGTACTCGCTCTGGGATAACGACAAACAAGTGGATCTTTAAACACAAGTGCATGCGCCAACCAGTTGTATTGAAGTCAAGTCACAAGCAATTCTTGGACTTGACATTGACTCGCAGTACTCACTGTGACTCAACTTGAGTCACTGTGGTCTGACCAGATGTAGAAACCCAAAGGTAGATTTCAAAATGCCCCAAATGACTTTCTCTCGTGTTTTTATTGATTGCATCGTGTTCAGATATTTGTGATTTCAATTGACTCGAACACTAAAATACTTGACTCGACTTTTTTGCCTATTGACTCGACTCGATTCAAGTCACTACATTACAATGACTCGACTCTCCTAGAGTTACAAAAATGATTGACTCGTTACAACTCTGATATTTGATTGCCTTTGGATTTGGGTTTCCAACAACAGCAGTGCTGTACATTCACTGTCAATGAATCACATCAAGACAGAATGCTTAGAGAATGACAGAATGCTGTTAATGTCCCAGTACAGTGCGTCACAGCCCCCAATGCCGATTTAAAGACATTTTCTACTAGTTTCTCTCTACACACCGCTTCGCTGTAATTCTCCAGATCTTTACCCTGTTTTCCAAATGCCTAAAACATATATCCCAGATCAAGCATGATGTGAGTAAGCATCTTTTGTGTTGATCTGTCTCTGTAGCCATTTTCTGCGTTTAGTGTTTACGTTTTTAAAATTTTCTTTAAGGTGCAGGGCCTTGCATTGGACAAGTTGTATTTAAAACTATGTTTACAGATGGCAGTTACCTGTTTTATGTCGATCAGCATCGCTAATCCGTTTCTGCTACCCGGAAAGCTCTCAGTCAGAATGGGGCCCGTTTTACCGGAGTTGAAGGTCCAGCAATTACCATGGGAAGTGAACACGTGCGAAAAATTCTGCAATACAGATGAGATGCACTCTTAGTATTTAATAGGTACTAAGGGACATTACTTCGTTGCTGAAGACCTGTTCAAAAAGGGACAGAAATAAATGGTGGAACTGACTTCATGTGCACAAAAGTGACGTTTAAGTAAAAAAGCAAAGCGTGTTGGTGACGTGGCTTTGATCAACGCATTGCATTGCGGAAAGCAAGTGGACAAGCGCACTGACTTGCGCATACGGCGCAAAGGACGCAAAACAACAACTTATTGCCTTTACTTTGAGTGGTTTGAACATTTGACAGACATTGTTTCCTTTAGATTGAGTACAGGGTTAACGATGAAATCGACAGTAAGTCAACAGGTCTGACTTTTAAAACATAAATCCCCTCATTTCTTACAGTGAAAAATGACCACACTAGGGCAAGTTCGGGCGAAGACCAAAAGGCCACTCTCATTTCGCCTAACAACCTGTATGGGTGGCCAAAGTTTGTAGAAATATCATCTTTTGATTGGTCTTCGATTTTACCTCGAGTTCGTTCGAATTGATATTTGCTCCATTAATTTTAATAGGCATGAATTATTCTACTTTTACTTTTGTACCAACTCGTTAGCCAATCATAGTTTTAGCAGCCACTTTTAGAAAACACGTGGCTGTGATGCCAAAAGAGCAGATCCTATTTGTCGGTTTCGATGTTCTCTGGTAAACTTTGCACAAAATATTGCTGGGCACTAAGCAGAATCGCAAAGTGATTGACAAAAACTGTCTCTTGCCATTCGGTTTCAGGTCAATATTCCACTGATCTCCATGACATAACAATCCTGATAGACCATTGGCTGTTACAAGCGAAATCACTGGCCTCTATTTAACCCACCTACAAATTGCAATGAAAGAATTACCGCTTCGGAGCAGCTGTTTCTCTCTCCGTACCACTGGCAGGAGAGCAGAGTCACGTCGTCCATGCGGAAGCCGGCCCGCAGCGTGAACTCGGTGTAGTTGAAGTCTGGGTGCGGACTATCAATCTCGTCAATTGCGTCGTCGTCGTCGTAGTAGTCATGGTAAAAATCGTAGTTGTCTAGCTGCCAGATGTAGGCCAGTACGTCTTCATCGTCCTGGGTCAACGCTCCTGCACGGTATCTGCAAGAGAAAATTGAAGCAATCACTCAAACTACTACAGCCAAACTACTCAGCTAGCCGTGCCTAATTCGGCGGTCTCTTTGTCCGAAATTTTGAGATTACCCCCCGAAGGACCTTTAAACCATCACTCCCAAGACTGTGATACTGCTGACTACATACTTACTGTTACTGATCGCAGTGACGACAGGCGACAGAGATGACAAAGAAAGTGACGACATGGACCAGGAATAAATACAACGTGGATTAAAAGACCAATGGACAGGTCGGAAATCTGTATCCGAGAGACTTATCCAAAGTTATAAATTTGAATGTCTTCCGGAAGGTACACTTCAGACAGCCAAGCTCCATTATGTACTCATGGGGTGACATTTTGCTTGAATACATGTACCCGGCCACGATGACTTCTACACAACGCTCAGGTGAGAGTGGGCTACCCTAAGTAGTGGCCGTAGTTATTGTGATTGTGGTATTATAGTAGTCTGTAACCCACCTGTTGAAGTTGCAGACGGTGACCGCTGGGAAGGAGAGGTGCCCGACGTACTCCACCGAGATCTCGGTGTTGGTCTCGTACTGAAGGAACCGACGGAACCGGTCCGAGATCTGCCAGGCGCAGACGCAGAGGCACGTCAGCAAGATGGCGATCCAGAAGACCCGGACGAGGAGCCTACTGGCTTGGAAGACCTTGGCGATGCCGTGGAGGCTGGTGGACTCGGCGAACTCCCGCTCCAGGCTGGGCCGGGGAAACTGATCAGCGACCGTTTTTGCCATCTTCTACCTGCTCCTCCTCATCAATAATGCTGTAATTGCCACAATCACACTCCAGCCACACGATAATTTTGGACGGGCACGCTTGTGATATTAATTTTAACGTGAGGTCGTGCATAGGTGTCACCTAGCCGTGTCCTTTTGACTGCAATCAGTTTTACTGCACGATGACGTGTTGTTTATTCGACAAATCCACAGCACTCCACTGTTGGAGGGAGATACACAAACTTAAAAGTAAATTTTCCAACCACCACTCGATGCTGTCACAGTGAAAAATGCACTTCGACCTTGCCGGTGCATGATCAGGGAACTCATAAACGTCCTGTTGTCCATGGATTTTTCAAGACAAATTATTGATGCTGCGTTTTAAGTTATAAGAACGAGCAGCGTTTTTCCTGATGCTACTCGAAACAGTTCCCTAAATGATGAAACACTTAGTCCAAAATAGTCCAAAGTAAATAAATGTTTTGGAAGCGAAAGTATGCAAATTCTAACATAATTTGTTCTAAAGATACACACGTTTACGAGGATTGCAATGACTGGAAGATAAAGACTGAAAAGAAGTCGATCTAGAAATAAATTGCTCTGGCTGTATACAACCAAAGTTAAAGCTGCAATGTATTTTTCTTAGACTCAATTTTTCTGCAACTTTCTACTCTCCTGGAATATATGAAAACTCTTTTACACTCCTGCGAGGTTAGATGTTTTGACAGGTGAATATTTCATCCCCTTTATTACCCTTTCTTGCCTCCTTTAATTGTTCCACTTCATGTGTAACAATATTTAACGTCAATTTTGTAGGGGAATGGCGCTGAACGCTTTACATTGCCTTGTGTGCGTCTTTGAATAATTGCGGTGCATGTAGAGTGATAGTTTTCATATTAACGAGTTGACATTGTGATCCATTGCATTTCAGTCACACGACTGGTTTGATTATTGAAACCTTCAGTTCAATTCAACCGAGTTCACTTTTAAATTCATACAAAAGTAACATTTTAACCCATTCACAATGCTTATTTCGCAATATGATAATTTTTACTACCCATATTTTACTGAATTTTCTAATGACAATGATGACTCTAAACACACGCTTAGGATCTTCCTTGACCTCTCTTACCCTGAAACAGTGCTATGTATAATCATGTATCATTTGGACATGTAACAATGGAAGCCATATACATGTGTGTGAATATATAATAAGGTCAGCCGAGTGTCGTAGCCTATCCCGGATCATGTCATGTAGAATCACATGTCATATGATATGTAACAGAAGACGCTGTACATTTAGCTCGCTGAGTGTCGCACGCCAGTGTCGAATCTATTATGTGATACATGGAACCAGTGTAATATATCGCTGAGTTATATTCATATGAACTAAACCTTTTTTTCTTGTAGACACTAAAAAGCATTGTGTATTATTACTCATTCGTAAGAATGAACCACTCAACAAGAGAAATTGATTTCTCTTTCCTGGATAATTTTTTGTTGTTTTACAAAATATTGTCATTAATGTGTTTGGACGTACAAAATCTGTTGGCCTTTTTGGCACGTCTGCTACTGTGGAGGAAAGAACAGGTCAATTGTTTTTTAGCTGTATTTTACAAAACTCGATGATTTGGAGGTATACAATTACCTGCAGCGATTTATGGTTTTAAAAAGGAACAAAATTTCTGTTTTCTCAGGCTGGAAACCAGTCTCACTGGGCAGAAATATCAAAGATTGACGGAGGCTTGAGAAAAGCACGTTTCTTTACGATTTCTTTATGAGCACAATCGTTATTTATATCGAAAGTCAGTAAATTGACCAGCGTCCTCGGTCACACCTTCAATCACTGAGTATGCTTGCGTATAGACTAAAATCTAGAACTAATTATCTTAAAATGTTTCAAATTTGAGTACTACAGTTTTCGTCATATCCTTTATCACTATTTGTAGGGTTAAGAATGGTTGTAGGTAGTACTGAAATAAAAACCACAGCCAACAGCGGTACCCTTTAAAGTCCACACACCGATAGCAGCCCATTCCTGGTAATGGACTTCATACGCTTTGTGCATGATTTATCACGTTATCTGTCTCCTGAGGCTATAGGGGAGATCCCCTACCCAAATAACCTTTCAGGGTGGTGGGAGATATACTAAAGTATGATTACATGGGGGGACTCTTGCCTGGTGGATGACTCGTTGCCCAGAAATGCGTGGTTGTTTTTTGTTCTGTTTTGTTTGTTTTGTTTTTTTTAGTTTGTTCGAGATGTCCATCTATGGCTGTACCGATGGTTTTTAAGAGCGAACTCCGGAGCTGTGTCAAATTCAACTCCCCATATTCACATTCTGTTTATCTCCGATGCATTTGTTCCACTGCGTGGGAGCCTCAGGACATGATCCAAAGAGACTTGATGGATGTAATTTACACTAAAATCCACGAGCACCCCTTCAGTCATGGTGTTTTATCATTATTTCTCAAGGCTCGTATCACTAATACTGTCTTTTTATTGATATGAGTCAGACAAATGCTTACTGTTACAATTTTCTTTCATGCGCCTGCTTTTAAAAGCTAGAGGTTTCTCTTGGCAAGAACTTCCACCTATTTTTTTTTCGAAAAGACTTCGTAAAATATTTTCGACCACAGTGATATTTGTAAAACTTACTTTGATTGGTGAGATTATGTTTGTCCAATAATTTAGGGTTACATGTAGTTTTACGGATGATATGAATTCCGCCTTTGACCAGTGTTCAATACGTAAAATATACAATGTACATTAAAGCTCACCTGAATAAAGAAACGAAAACGGCAATCAGGAATGACCGCTGAGGAAGACTCTAGCTTCTCAACAAAAATACTGTGACTAATTCTTGGCCGTCCCGATCCTTTGGCTTCACTTGAAGATGTTACCCGGCTTTGACGTACCGTACCAACAGAAATGACAACGTAGATTGTATATTTCAAGGATCATGAAACGCCAGGGTGCTGAAAACCTTCAGTAAACAGTTGTATCTGCTGGTATACCAAATGAACATGCGCGTAGGTTAGAATAAGCAACTGCGGGCATCCAAATGTAAATTGAAATTTAAAATTAAACTGAAATGTTACGGGTGGTATTGAATGTGGTCAAAGGTGGGTTTCAGTTGGTCGGACTAAGCGGGAGATTGAGTAGAGCAAAAATATTGTAAGGTCACTCTTTGGGTAGGGAGCCGTTATCAAAAAGAATAACAGAGAGTCGTAGGACTGACAGTGATCAACTTCTGTTGCTAGTGAGGCTGGATATTGCTGTATGAGATGTTCATCGTAGGAAACAGTAAGCAGAGAACAGCTCGTGCAAATCTCAGCTGTTTGTTATACGTAACCATTGGGAAACAAATCTGAATTAAAATAAAAGATGAAATAAAACTAAAATGAAAGGGACATGTAAAATGGAACTAAAATGGAAGGGGTGTGTAAAAATGAAGGAGACTCTTTAAAAACATCATATCGTGCAACATAAGGAGCGCTTCGCTTTAATTGGAAATCGCTAATCTCAACAGAAAATTGTCCCGCGTCAAATCTAAAAATTTGTGCGTTAACCGTATTGACTGTCTAAAATAATCTACTTTATTACTGAGAGCGTTTCTCACCGGCGTGTGTGACGTTGTAATTTAATATGCTTTTACTGTTTCTGTCAAGTCTGATCTATCAGTTTTTGAAGAATGTCCAAACCGTACATTCTTAAAACTGTACATTCGTAAGAATAATCGACACTTTACAGAATAGGATGATTTTGCAAGAGGGGTTTAATGGAAGAGCTACACGCTCACGAACGGTCAAGGAGTTGTTACTCCGGAGCTGCGGCCGTCTAGGGAATGAACGATGCTGACAGCCGGATAGAGCTGGTCGGTTTACATAGACTTTCGGGGCCGCGTCTTAGCCAATGAGAGCACTGGATTCGGGCGGTTATGAATAATTCATATGCGCAGAAAGTCTATGGAAGAAAACTTTATGGGGATTTTGTGTACACTTGGTCTGGCCGACTTTGTTTCTTCTCCGCGAAGTTTTGGAGCGGGATGTTGAAAGGCTGCTCGAGGGTGTGCTGCAGGGGACTTAATCAACGAGGCAAAGGAAATGGTGATCTTTGAATATAAATAATAAATAAATATTTGAAAGGAAGGTTGAGGTCGTAATACACGGTGTAAAACCTTTCCCACTTTTAAATTTATATATCAACAAGTGTGACATGAAGGTACAAGAAGTCAAGTACACGAAATTAACGTATCAAAATTATGCTGCATTCTAAGCACTCTGTTAATCTATTTCATCACTCGAAGATAAAAATG